GGGAGTGGAAAAGTTGCAGACACCTGATCTATGTGTGTCAGTGTCCTCTGAGAACAAATAGCTCTTTGTATGAGTCTTCCATGTCTCTGTTGCCAAAAACCTTACGGGACCAATGTTACTGTAAGACATCAGATCAGGACGAGTTTGTCAAGTGTCAACATGATTCAAACAAAAGGTCTAATGGACAGCAGTTGCCAAAGCAGGAAGAAGATGGGAACTAATCAGATGCTTGAAAAAATGGATGGAGGTGATAAAAGATGAAAAAGACCACAAGCTGAATCCAAATACAATTTAGCAATTTGAATTTAAACACAACGCATCATTGGAAATACCATGCAAACACAACGAGCAGCAGAAAAATTATTGATTTGTCATAATCAAGACAGACTTTAGTCTGTAGGAGACACTGCTGAGGCTTTTAGTCCACTCTAATCCCAGAACATCCTTTTTACATAACAGTTAAACCCTAATTCAATGTGAGCTGTGGCTGTATTAAAGCAGAATTAAAAAGTGCTTAAAGCGCTCTTGGTTGCTTTTGAGGTCCAACAGGCTGGAATAAGAACATTACCGTCGATGTGAGTGTTTCTGGACATTTCCTCATTGACAACAGGCTGCTGACTGTCACGAAGATAATTCCGATAACCGGATAATAAGAGATAACCAGTTCCAGAGCAATGTGATTATGAGTTTTTAGGGCCACAAGATGAAGTGCCAAATTATCTGCTAAGATCAGTTAGTCAACTTTGCCTTACCCGGGCTAATTAGTACAAATTAGTGTAAAGGAAATTAAAATGTACGAATTTATTTCACCAAAAGCCTAAAGCAAAATTTTCCACAGGGCAGGGAATATTATTTGTAAATATAAAAGGCTCCAGAAGACACCACAATCATAGTGGAGGGGTTCAGATTAGAAAGTCAAATCAGACAGACTTAAACTACAGATGCCTTTATTAGCACATCTGACTGAGACAAGAAAAAACAAAACAAAAAAACCCTCCACACTGCAGGCTGCTGATACATGAGCTGATATTTGTACACAGGGGAGTCTGCCTACATTTTCCTAGAGCACAACTATAACAACAGATTTTGCTGATTGTTAGTTTAAATCCACTGATAAGACAACACAAAGTTCAAGCGTGAACTTACTCACATTTGTTCTGAATTTGCAAAACAGTGTATATGATATAAGACAGTGACACTGTTAAGAACTAAGAACTTTCTAAACCGACTAGTTGATTTTTCCCTAAATAAAGCTTATTATGTGTTGTCTGGGAACAAAATGTTAAAGATCAAGAGAAAAAAATCTGATAATATACAAGATGCAAAATTCTTTCTCTGAACCTCGTGAATTCCTTTTCTGTCTATTTCACGAAAACCTTATTTTCTGTTTCTCCCATTTTCTTTTATTATTCTTATTCTCTTATTCTCTAAGCACTTCTAACCTTTAGGTAGTGTGTGAGGGTGGAAGTCTGCAGCATAAAAAATTAAAACGGAAACGTGTTTTATGGTGTGGTCTGCTGGGGCGGCAGCATCTCTGCTGGGGACAGGAAGAGACTGAACAGGGTGATCCGAAGGGCCAGCTCTGTTCTAGGATGCCCTCTGGACCCAGTGGAGGTGGTGAGTGACAGGAGAACGGCGGCTAAGCTGTCATCCCTGATGGACAACATCTCCCACCCCATGCAGCAGACTGTGACAGCACTGAGCAGCTCCTTCAGTGGGAGACTGCGGCACCCACGGTGTGGGACGGAGAGATTTCGCAGGTCTTTCCTCCCCACTGATGTCAGACTCCATAATAAAGACTTTAACTGATCAAGCACACACATCCATACATATGCAATAATACTAAGTGCAATAATCCTTTCTGTCATCGTTGTATTTTTACTCAGTTGTATATAGTATTTGTATTTGTATTCTATTTTTATCTTATTGTATATTTATTTTATTTTATTCTACTGTATATAGTATTTTATTTTATTCTATTCTGTACAGTTGTGTACTGTATTTATTCTTATTGTATTCTAATTTTTGCCTCATAACTTTTGCACTGTCCACTTCCTGCTGTGACAAAACAAATTTCCCACGTGTGGGACTAATAAAGGTTATCTTATCTTATCTTACACGATTTTGGTTCTAGCAAATTGGTGAACTATTTGACATACAACATGGGGATCTGTCACATTTCAATAAGGATTCACAGCAAATTTCTAACTGCAGAGTATGGATCAAGTGGTTATTTTGTTCTGGTCAAAAGGATGACAATGCTGTGGCAGAAAGTACTTAATTTCTAATATTATTATTATTTCTGTTATTTTTCATTTGTTTTAGAAGACGTCTCCTACAAAATGTAAACTCTGTTTAATGTTTCATAATTTGTCATTAAAAAGATTGCAGAACTGTGCTTAAACAGCAAAGGTGTTCACTTGTATCAGATATGTAAAAATCCATGACTTAATTTATTCTGTGGTACAAAGTCACTGAGCAGAGCACTTCACCAAAATCAAAACAAACTGCCATGAATAAATACATTAAAAGGAGGCAGTCTGTTGTCTCATTCAGCTGAACATCTGCCTTCATCATAAATTATTGAAATGTTTTAACAAGCTTAATAAATAAAAACACATCTGATATAAAAAAAAAAAACCCTGAAAACAACAGTGCGTCTAAATAACAAATTTTTACCTCTGTAGCTTATAGTTGTTCATCTGGATGTAGCGTTTTCAGTGGGAGAAAGATAAGACAAACCTTTATTAGTCCCACACATGGGAAATTTTTTGGTCACGGCAGAAAGAACAAGTTGAAGAGAAGTAAAAGTTAAGAAAAACACATTAGAACAGGACAAGAAAAAAAAATAGAATAACATACTATACAACAAGAATAAAATACTTTATTATGGTAGGAAAAATTGCACTTGGTAATACTGCACATCAGGGAGACAGTTACAATTGTGTATGGGATGTGTGTGTGTGTGTGTGTGTCTGTCTGCACATGTGTGGTCATCTGCAAAGACCATGTTGTAGAGTTTGATAACAGTTGGAAGGAAAGACCGGAGACTCTCCGTCCCACATAGCGGGTGCCGCAGCCTGCCACTGAAGGAGCTGCTCAGTGCTGTGAGGGTCTCCTGCATGAGGTGGGAGATGTTGTCCAACAGGGATCACAGCTTGGCCACCATTCTCCTGTCACTCACCACCTCCAATGGGTTCAGAGGGCATCCTAGAACAGAGCTGGCCCTCTGCTGGGGACGGGAAGAGAATGAACAGGCTGATCCAGAGATGCTGCCGCCCAGCAGATCATACTGTAAAAGATGACCACGCCAGAGTTCTAGAAGGTCTTCAGGACTGGGCCCTTCACTCCAAAAGATCTGAGTCTTTCCCCAACTCTCTGTGAATGGTACTTATGGCCATGTATCAATTGTCATTAATTAATTAAGTAATAACCTGGTGAGACTGAAGAAGTCACTTGGATAAGTGATGAAACGTTTCTCAAGACATTAAGACAAATAGTTTATAATTAGATACAAGATAATTACTAACTATTAGATATACTGTATGGCCATCTCAGAAATCGGGGGTGTTTTTAGTCATCCATGGAAATTAGAAGTGAAAGATGGAGGTGGAGGGAGTGGAAATATTGTTTGACAAAACCAAATGAAGGCACACTTATTGAAACAATCCCCAGCTCTCTTCGCAGGCCCATACAATAACCTGGTTCAGAAGCTTTCATCGACTTTGACCCCCTAATCCAATGTTGTAAATGTGTTCTTACATAGTTTCAGGAATACACAAACAGCCTCTGATGAAGATAATAATATTTGAAGCCCCCACAACACAAGTATATCTGAATATGACTGAAAGACATTACCTACAAGCAGAAATGAGATTTTAACTGTTTTAGTAAAATGAAGACAGAACATATCATCTTTGAGGTTGCAAAGTGTCCTTGTTTCTAAGCTCTAAAACAAACTGGTCCCCACCTAGCCAATTAAACGAGCACACACACACACACACGCAGATTAAAATGCCATGCTGACATAATCCTCAGTGTGAATTCTTTGTATTTGGTGCTGTTACTACATGGGAAAGAAGCCAAAGTAAGAAGTTAAAGTCCACTTTTAATAAATGTCTCCATTAGGGATTTTGGAAATCCCTTCAAAACAGTGGTTTTAAACACACATCTGGGTTTTTCCAACACCACTGGTTATTTTAAAGACACCGATATCACCTGTGACCAGAATCAGTTTAATCAGTGTGTACTTTTTGAGAGCCATCTTCACAAACGACAGAAAGAATCCAAATGCAAAAAATATAAAACAATGTGAGGTAAACACAGAGTAACACAAATAATAATTTTAAAAGAACAAATGAAAAAATAAAAACAGCTTAGTGATGACTGTCTCTATTCCTGCAGTATAGATTTGAGGTCTGTTTCCGTTTCAATGCACAATAACTTTTATCACAGAACCAGTGTTACCAGCTTCAACTGAAGGAGACACGTGTAATTATAATTATATAATAAGTATAAAATACAAAAAAGCACTTTATGGGATAATAATGTGAAACGTTCTTAAAGGAAACATCTACATTTCACTTAGTGACGAGTTATAAAACAAATATTTTATGGTCTTCTGTCCACAAATTAACCAAATGTAAGAATTTTGTTTAAAATGCTGCATTTAAACATAATCAATTTCATTTTCATTAATTGCAAGAGGAATTGAAAGTAATGTATCTACTTCTAATTTTCCATATATTTAGCTTTAAAGTAGCTAATACCTTAAAGTATTAGCTACTGATAGTTACAATTGAAACTTAGTGGGGGTTTTAATGCACAAAACCTAAAAAGGAAATTTTTAGGTAGTTGCCCAAATTCACATAGCAGGAGGTTCTTTAAAGATGAGTTAAAGACACACTTGTCTAAAGACGATTTTGTAGTTTTATGTTTATGTATGCAGGAAGTAATGTTTAATGCTCTAAAATATGAAGAAATGCGTGACTCCAGAGACAGTGAGTTGGAACTGTTGAGCTTTATTAGTAGCGCTTAGTATGAGGAACAGAAATTACGGTGAAGACAGAAAATATTTAGTCCATTAACAGAACAGAGCAGATAAAACAAAGTGGAATAAAGATATCGGCAATGAGAGAGGGAGATTCACATGTTGTCAGTGTCCGTGTCACTTTTGGCCAAGTTGGGAGAGCTGTGAAAATGAAGACCACAACAGGTTTTTAAATAGACACAATGAAACGTCTATGGGCTTATTGGCTTATCCCCTCACTGGTGCTGTGTGGTTCCTCACCTGTTTGATGAACTGAGACGCATTGAAGAGCTCACTGCAGCCATAAACAATCTTCTTCCCCTGCTTAGACTGGAAATACAGAAAAATAAAATGACGTTTGCTACTGAACCTATTATTGCAGGGAGAAAGTAACACTTCCACACAAATACTGTTGTTTTTACCAATCTACATGTATTTAACACCTTTGGTGTTAGCTGGTTGTTCGGTGGTAATGTTGCCTCACAAGAATAGAGGTTTTTGGGTTCAAAGCACAGTAGGGCCCCTCTGTTTGGAATAGGTATATTCACCCTGTGCTTGCGTGGTTTTTCCGTGGGAGCTACGGTCTCTCCTACCATCAAAATCACTAGGTTAATGCTGCCTATATCAGGAGGTATTCAAAGCTTTCACTTACTGGTAAAAATAAAGCACTGAACTTTGCAAATAACAAAAATGATATAAAGAGTCTGCATGCCATTTTGTTATGTTAGTGTTAGTATGTGTTGTAAGTTTGGTCCAACAAACTTTGAATATTAGTATCGCAGTTATGACTTGCTCATGTTGGTCACTTTATTTCACACTGTAAACTGTAAAGCTGCTTCGTTGGTCATTTTAAACCACTTCAAAGTCCCTTTAAATCTCAACTGTAAATTTTAGACTGTTATTAACCCTTTTTTACTCCAAAGTGTACATTTACTCCCCTTACCTCAGTCTCAAAGCATATATATATATATATATATATATATATATTTATTCTTACTCTTCCTATATTTATTTTTGTTCTTTTGCACTGACTGGAACTGCAGCCTCGTCGTCTCGTCTCTCTATATACTGTACTGTATATAGCAGAAATGATAATAAAGTTTACTTTGACTTTGAGTACATTTTCCCGACTTCTATTTTATATAATGTGACAGTGTTTTCACTGAAGGACCTAAATTGTTTTAGTGTCATTAAACTTTAAGAGTTTTAGTTTGATATTTAACCCATCCCATGTGAAACTAAATTGTATTCATCTAAAGAGACATCAGACTAAAATATGGAAAAGAACTTTGAAATGTACTACCGTACCTTGGTGTAGTCCACCAGATTCTGGTACTCGATATAGTTTCCTCCACCCACTACGAAGACGATGGCCTGAAACAGCAGGAGGTAAAAAAATCAAGCTTATATCAGAGGATATGTTGAAGGTGATGGACAGAAAGACTGCAAATGATTAAAAAAAGCTGCTGAAGTGATTTTACAGAATGAATTTCAAGTATAAACACTGCCAAAGACAAAAGTTTTATGAACTGAAAGAGGTAGACGCCTCTAATTGTATGCAGGAAATCAAGTTTTATTCCAATATTCAGGATTTGTAATTATTTACTTCATTACTATACTTATGTATGCATTTAATTTCAGATATGTTTTTACTTGTTCAAGAAATCAATTTTGTGATATTGTATCTTATTTTTTCACATCTATAATTACTTACTATAATAATAGTAATGTAATTACTAGTCCCACAGTTACTGTTTTATGATCTACCACAGACTTGCTCGCATAACTGTTGTTTTACATGTGATTGTGTGGTGACGGGATTAATAAAAGTCCAAATCAAATTCAATCTCATAAAAAAATTCCAGATTTGAAACTCTGCAACTTTCATCACAGCTAAGAAACAGTTAACTGTGCGTTATGAGAGAATCATGTGCGGCAACAGAAATTCCTGTCTGTCTTGTGTTTCCTTTCAACTTTTGTTTATCCTGGAAATAACCTGAACTGAATCTCATCAGTCAAACTTTGGTCCAGATACACAAATTCACCTCCTGAAACGGGTTCTTGTTCCTGGGGATGGAGCTGAAAGAGAAGGAAAGGATGATGAGACATCTTCGAGTGTATTTTACCCACCGAGAAGATGAGCTCTGCCAAGCTACAGATGAGATTTTGGATTTGTTTTCATACCTTTCACTGCCTCGCAGCATCTTTGGGTCAAAGTATCGATAATCATCTGTTTCCTTAAGGATCAGATAGAAAATTTTTTTTAGTCAGACGTACTACACATGACACACTTGTACTCAACAGCCACAAAAATAAACCCTAAATAATGTAGATGGTAGAGGGATATGTAGATTGGTTTGGCTTTTCTGATATTATTAGATGAAGAAGAGCCTCCGATTTGTAACTTAAAAAACAAAACAAAAAACCTGCTGGTGTCAAAATGTAAAACAACAACAACAACAAACAAACAAAAACAGAGTTAACCAAATTGAAAGCACGACAAAGGCAAAAGATTTATTTCACAGGTTGACCTGGTTGTGTTGTCTCTCAGCTCCAAGGACTAAACACAGACAGAATGACACAGCACTGTGTCTTTTGGCTTACTGTCACATGACCTAGATGCAGGTGGGTACAGGTTTAGTTCAAAGTAGTATTTGTACTGGAGAAGGATCGTTTTTGTCAGTGATGTAAAAGCCCAAGCAGACCATGAAAAACAAAGACGAGTCAGATTCAGCATCTTCATATTTTCCTCATTTTAATGACACAAAGCTCTGCAAATTGTACGTCTCCCACTCCATCCTAAATTAATTACAGGAAATCTCAGTTCTTATGCAGACACTCAAAAACAGCACAACCTATTTATTAGCTCAAACTTAAAAAGTATTTCCTTAACTGCTTTGAGCCGGTGTCTACAATGGCACCAGTAGTTTTTGAGGTCAAAATTAAAACTTGTGCCAGAGCACCTCACAAACGCAGAAAAACAAAGTTAAACTGTGATTTTCTAAAAGTCGTTGGAGACTTTAAAGGCTTTCAGTTTGTCCACATCAAGAGAAAATCGTACAAAAACCTCCACTGTGAACAGCAACATGGTTTTATTACGTGGCTTTATCTGATTAATGTTAGTATTAGTATTAATATTTTATCTAACTAAAAAATGAGTAATAACCTCTATAAACTTCTCCACCATTTTGCTATACTTTAACTAAAACATAACCTCGAAATGCAACAGTTTTACACTGAGGACAATCTGATAGAGGGAGAATGTGCTCCGTTTCTTTTATCTTCATCCCAGACTTCCATCCCCGCTCCACCCTTTCCCTTTTTATTCACAACAACAGGACCTTTGTTGGTAGTCTGTAACTCCAGACGCTGAGAAACCTGCAGGGGGTGTGTGTGTGTTCACTTGCAAGTCTGTCACTACAAGGACCGGTTTAAGCTTTGAGCAGAGACATTTGGGACTTAACTTCAAAAGGAATTTTTGAAAGTTCAGAGTTTGTTTTAGGGTTCACGTTAGATTCAGGTTTTGCTTTGCATGCATATTTGTGCGCATGGTCAAAATGAATACATGGGCTGAGAGTCAGAAACTGCACTTTCAGTTCAATGTGATAAAGTGTGTTTGCTAGTTCATGTGGGTTCAAACGTGAGTAATAGAATATGTACTTTCCTTCCTCTCACACATGGACCACAGCAGTTAATATGAAGCTAATGTAATTTGTGGCATGTGTGTTGGAGCTGTCAATCACAGCTGAAGTGACACAAAAACGTGTCTTTCTTCTGAGTTTCCTCTCACCAATTAAGTTATGTTGAGGCCTACAGATATGTAGGTCTTTCAGAGGAACCTTTCATATTTTCTTTAGCAGAGAAGTTCTACATGTAATATAGAGCACTCTGCAGTTTTGTATTCACACTATACGTACATGGTAAGCTGCTTTTATATCATGTGTCTTTCTGTCGGTCAACTTTACACTTATATTGTATATTAAAGTTCCATTTGAGTAACTTTTCTTTCACATCAAGAGAAAACAACTTAAAATGATTCACATAAAAATGTGGCTTTTTGGAAAACTTTTCCCAATCTGCACCGCAGAAGTGGACACCAGAGACACATCAGTGGGACTAGAATCCCCCCCCTCTTAATACTCGTATTAAGTGTTTCTATAAAAGGGCTTGGGCTTTTCCCGCTTTTCACAACACTTCCTATATTTTTAACTAATATTGGAAATATGTTTTTTAAATCATGAACAAAAACAAAACTCACAGGATGAGACTTCATCTCCATCAGGTTGTCCAGGATACGGGTAACCGGAAGGTTCTGGAAAAAAAAGAAAAAGAAACAACTTTTAACCTCCTAGGACCTGGCGTCCACATATGTGAACATCACATTTTGGGTTATTTAGACTAAAATATTCAATTTTGCTCTACATGGGCCTGATATCCACTTACGAGGACATTATACTGCTACTGTTCTATCAAAATTTTAAACGAATATCCTCATATGTGGCTCTTATTTTTCTTAAAAAAAATAAAAAAAATAAGGTAAAAGAAAAAAAATCTGCTAATTCTTTGTTTTTACATTCATCGGGCCCCAATCAGCCCAAATATCAGAGAGAAATGAAAAACGCACATTGTGGAAGAGTTCGGGTCTTAGGAGGTTAAACATAACAAAGAATAATGAATCTCTTACAATAAATTCATTTACTTTTTATGATATTTCATAAGAATCATGAGTTTGTGTTTAGGTTGGACTTTTTTTCTTTTTAGATATTTGGTAAGTAGCTATTTTGGAAAACTGGAGTTGCAAGTGAAGAAAAAAAAAACAAAAAACAAGAATAACTTCAAATATCTTCCCTAACAGAGCATCAAAAGATGCATTCAAATCTACTCTCACTGTTAATAATGTTCTGGCAGCGAAGCAGAACAGGTGACTTCAGCGGGTCCAATTTCAGTATGAAGAAAACAGACGCCACCCTCCCAGTGTGTACGTGTGTGTGTGTGTGATGATTATAAATGACTTTCTTGTCTGTGCCAGTTTTAGTCTGAAACACCCTGTCATCGTCATCGTGCTCATCCATATTCCTGTTGTCTAGGAATGAGAACGTCGTCACATTGTGTGCACTTGATTTAATATTCTGCCAGATGCAAGCAGACGGAGGATGGTGCTTTTGTGCAAAGGCTGTTAAATGCAATGTGCAGATGCAGTTCAAAATTATCTCGTATATATAAATATATATATCTAAATATAAAAATGGGAATGCTGGAGAAGATGTGGATCAGAAGAGCCACATCATTATCATATCTTTTGGGACTGCCCTAACTTAAAAAATTACTGGCTGGGAATTCATAAAACTTTGTGTGAGGTTTTTAAGATAAAATTTGACATCAATTTTGTAAATTTGTACTTGGGCTTGGTTGCTGGCTCGGTCCGGGGAGGGGACACAAAACTCTTACAAGCGCTATTAGCGGCCAGCAAAAAATCAATAACCAGAAAGTGGTTAAATCCAATCCGCCAACACTTGAGGAGTGGTTTAATGTGATTTTCTAAATATTTAAAATGGAAAAATTGACATTCTTTTTAAAAATTCTAAAAGACAAATTCTACAAAATATGGAATAAATGGATTAGCTTTGTGTCCCCCATCCGCCCTAAATTTAGGTAAGACCAGCCCTGAATTGGTGTATCTCCCATGTATCGTACAATGTCAGGTTGACCCTCAACTTCATAATATGTACCTAATGTAGTCTTTGTAAATAAGTTAAACATGCTGCAATATGTAACACACTGTCAAGCCAATGAGTTAATTTTATTTTTTTGCTATCAGAATGTAAAACAAAAGGACTAAGAAAAAGGTTTTTTCTTCTTTTTTTGACTAAATAAAGTCAATGCACTTTATTGTAACAAGTCCTTTTTTTTTCTTAAATAAAAATATAATTTAAAAAAAAGAAAATGATCTCGTTTTCAGGTGAAAACATATGCCAAGGAAGTTTCCCAAGTGTTACATGGACAAACATGAACAAAAATGTGAGAAAAGGAAAAAAACAGAAAAAGAAGGAAAAGTGCTGTTGATTACAGCCCTGTCCCTCCAACCTAGCACTTTATTAACTACAATTAAATAAAAAAAAATCTTCAGATAATCTTCATATAAATGAGAAAAAATGTGATCTCTGTGACATTTGGGACTATTTTTAAACTAAAATGATTCTTCTTTTTCTTCTTACAAACGAATGCCATTTCTGAGGTGCTAAAAGGTCCTCAAAAACTCTGACACGTGTCACATGTATGAGCATGAGTGATGTAAAACAGCTTTCAAAGTTTCCATAAATACAGCACATTATAATAAATATGTGTAGCTCTGATGATGTAAATATGCAGCAGTTGTGTGGCAGGCTTTAAATGTAGTTTTATCACTTTAATTTGAAGGCTGTAAGGCATCTTTGGTCAGATAAGACTGGGTACTGTTCAGGTTGATGAACTGGACTTTAGACAAGTTCTTAATTACTTTTCTTGTGTTGATTTTGGTAAGAGTAGTTCATTGTTTCAGCTGGTTTTCTGGAATTGAAATGGTAACAGAAGGAGTTTTACTCACATGCTGTTTGAGCACCAGGTTTTTCACACCCTCCATGACAAACTGGGAGCCAGTATTCATCACTCTGGAGAACAGTCTGTGGGGATGGAGTTGGGGGGGTGGGGGTGGTAAGGAGAAATAGATGAAGAAAAGCCAGGACGGGAGGAGAGACAGGATGGAGGAAAGCAAGAGGCGGAGGGCAGGAGGACAGGGTTAGGCTGGTAGTCTAAGAAACTCTAAAGTAAAGGAGAGAGTGGGATGTCCCTGACTTTTTGATTCAAAAAGTCAGTTTACAAAAATAGAGTAATAAAAAACATGACCACAGCCTACACTCAGGAAAACAAACTTTCAGGATTTGTGTTACACTGTGATATCACAATTACACAGCCAAGCACCTAATTAGTCCCACCTGGATCCACCCCCTACTCTACCTCTACTATAGCAAAATCATAACTGCTGTCACACTATGGTACCAGTGTGCCTGCTATCACCATCAACCTTGGTTGTATGCCTACACACAGAGAACCACTTTCTTAGAGGGCTACGGATATAGACGTATATACACAGAGTGAAAAGGTATGACCCACTATTTTATTGTCTCATTTTTCACTAGTGTATCTAATGGCAGAGGCAGGAAAGGAACAGCTCACTACATGAATGAAGCACACACAGCAGCCATTCCTTTGGAGCTTAAATTTGGACATATTAGACTTCAACAACACACGGAAATAGGGTGTAATATGTGACTAACAATAACAGTAGGAGAGTAATCATAGTAGGCTCCAGTTATATTTCACAGCCATTGAGAGGCAATTAAGGCACAGTAATATGTGGTTATGTTGTTTCTAAACAGTTTCTAAAGCTGCTAAATCTCAGTGGAAAAACCTTACAAAATTAATACATAAAGCTGGTCCAGCTGTTTAATTCACTGCTGATTACTCAATGAAAAGAATGTTTAAATTGTCATATAACATCATTTTAGACTTGTCATCTCACTTATTAGTTCATAATTCTAAAACTATGTTAAAAAGGTACAAACTAATAATATTATTTACTTACCCCATAGGTTTGACTCCACTGTTGCCATAATTGGCTGGTGTGGCAGCCATTTTGGTAAAGGCCCTTGAAAGCATGAGAAGAAACCAGAAAGACTTAAGCATACTGACGAATTAGTCAATACCGTGTAAATTAAATGATTTTTAGATAAAGCCTTGATGGAAATTTTGAGTTCAGCATTTATTACAAAATCTGTTGACCATTGGAGGGTCAAAATATGTGGAGTTAAATGATGCTGCTGGGAAAAAACACAACTTACTTCCATTGTTTAATGTAGTTTAGAGGTGAAAGGTCACAGACTGCATCCAACAAAGCCTTCTTATACTGCTCCAAATCAGACTGAAACACAAAAACAAAATCCCACAGTCATCTAATGTTAACACATAAAGACGCCCAAGGCTAGAAAATAGGTGGAAAATAACAACAACAATAATAATAACAGAAAATAATAATAAAATAATAAAAGGTTAAATAATGGGGGGAAAAAAATCAATCGCACAAACCTTCCTCAGCATAAGAGATGTTTCCTAATAGTGCCACCAACATGTAATCAAGATGTTCTTACATCATTGAATAAAGAGTGACTGTTTATATTCAATAAAAAGCTAAACAGACACTGTGAGTATTTTGAAATAGGTGCAGTGTCAGCTTTGCGACTAAAAGGTACTGGCAAAAGTTCTGGGAGGAGAACATTTAAGGAAATAATATAATTATGATTTGAAGCACATAAGTTTGCAGCACACAAATTAACACAAATTGTTTTGAATATTGCAAAACGTACATCTTATTTGCACTTGATGTGATTGTGATAGGTGCTGTTGGGAGTGTTTATTTATTTAGAATTGAGAGGGAGATGCTGTCAAAACAAGTGTGTAACTGACACTGACAAAATGATCAAAGCTGTAGATCGCGTTCCAAAACTTGGCTGTGTCTTGTAACTCTTCATTGAGTCATCACCCTGAATGTTTAGAGTTGAGCACCAAATATATTTGGTCTACAGCAACACTTATATTCATGAAAGAGAGAACTTACATGAACAAGAAAGTCAAGACACTTTTTGCAGCGAATGACTGGTTTGTAGTGTTTTAGATTTTTAGTCCCATTTCTATACAAAAATCTCTGCGTCTTATCTCTCAGCAGTGTGCACACAGTGCTATTATATGCAATACAAGGCAATACTGTATACAAGGATTTCAGGTTTGTGTGCATAAACCCTATGTTCCACCTGACCTGTCAGATTTATTGAATGAACAGCTATCTCAACTATTCTACCGCACACAGTCCCAAACAATTTCTAGCAGAAAAGTTTGCAAATATACGAAAAACATTGATTCTCAATATATTAAAGATTGCTCTTACACTGTATTATGTATATAATGTTACTAACTCCCTTATCAGGTCTGCTCATTTTTGACCCCCAAATTTACTTTCAGCACATATTTGTGATTGCAACATCAAGCTAATTTTCACACACTTAGTAAATCTTACTGTACCATGGCAGAATATTACACCAGCAGTGTCAAACATAGGTTTGCTGAACTGTGGCAATCCAACCCACTGGAGTTTGTTTTACACTATAAAAATGACAGAGGAACGAGGCATAATCTTTTGACTTTTACTTTATTTTGCACCAGAAACCAATACTTTTCACTTTAAGTGACCAACTGGTCATTATCGTAAGCCTTCTTCTAGAACTGTATGAACAAGTTTCTTTGACTTATGAGTGTGAATGTATAAAAAACTTTAACTGAAATAAATATTTTTCTTAGGACTTCTCAAAAGGTCCACCACCTGTTTCATTCATTAAATACAAAAGGTGTTTTCTTAGGTTATCCAACAGTCCAATCCATTCAAGATCAAATTGCAATGTATGTGGCCCATGAACTAAAATGAGTTTGTCAGCCAAGGCATATCATAATAGGAATGATTGAATTTTGTGCACCAATTTAATTTTGGATAAGCTGGTGCCATTCACAATAGAGCAGAGTAGGTTAATGGAAGAGGAGTGCTCTGTGATGTGTTTTTGTCTGAAAAAAGTCTTAGTTATTGTCAGTTATCACTGATGTACATGTGGGATTTATTTAGCCTGCACTCTTGACTGAAACAAAAATAAATGAAACATCACTTAAGCCACCCCATGTCAAATATTTCATTATGCATTAATCATAACACAGAATTTAGCTGTTCAGAGTCCTGCCAAGTAAAGTAAGACATTAGTGTATATAGTTCAGTTTACTTCAGTGTGAAAGAATATGATGCAGTGTGGATCGTCCACACATAGCTTACTCTGATGAGCAGCTCGTGGAAGCCACCCAGGCATTATTAAAGTGCCAAACCATGTTAGAGGGCGCACAAAAGTGTGCCTGATTGTTTTTGTAGCTATCTGATATTTATCTAATCCACACTAATGAAAATCCAGCAGCAGTCGCAGAAACCTTAAAGCAAATAGAAGAGAGTAAGGAAAAGGGTGAGAGCGAGGTCTGTGAGATATAAAACAGGAGGTAGAGGAAAGAGAGCAAGAGACAAAAAGACATGGACAGAAGGCCAAGAGTTGGTCACAGAGGGAGAGGGATGACCGGAGATGACAGGAAGGAAGAGGGGAAAGAGTGAAAGAGGGGGTGGAGGAGAGGGGGCTGAGAGGGTACTCCCAATGGGGAACATCTCTCAGCTGGATGAAAGATGAAAGCAAGAGTGAGGCTCACATTTTGGCAGAGGGGCGAGCAGTCACACCATCTCACAGCAGAGGAAATGGAGGATGACACTCTGAGAATCACAGAGCTCAAAGTGGAGATCTTAAACAACCATCAAACAGTCTCCTTTCTGTTGTTCACATTTGGGAAACTTTTCGCCGAAAAAGACGATTCAACAGACAACTCCAGACATGGTCTCCTTCACAAACCTGACCAATCACTCCTTGAAATGGGAATGTCTTAGAATTATACTATACTGCATTATCCACAACATACTGGTACATATCATCTCAACAATAAGAATTATACTGGTCCAAACTACTAAAAATGCCAAGAATAACACAGTTTGAGAGACAATATACAGTATTTTTACACTAAAAAGTTTGAATCCCAATAAACTATACCATAGCTCAGCATGGTGTGCAGTGTGTCCTTAAGAAATACAAGTGCCAGGCCTAAAAAACTATCTAGAGCAGACGAACAGTATCTGAAAGTCATGTCTTTAAGAACTGAGACCTGACGGTCACATTTAGCGTCGTCAACAGCCTCATTAATTGCCACCCTTTCATCAGGTGGAATGGTCAGTTGGAAATGTTTACATATTGCCCAACGTTACTACACAAATGACAAAAAAAGACTGCCTGAGAGAATTCTGACTGTGTAAAGAATAAAGGTTTCTTCCCAAATATCGACTTTCAAGCAAAATACAAAGAAATGAAGGGTTGCTCAAGAGTTTTGCTTTATACTCTTCATAGCTGAATCAATGGGCTACTTTCAGTCATTGTGCAAAGGTACTGTTTATAAGGCTGGGGATACCTGCATTCAGCTGAGAGTGAAAAAGTCACTTGGATGAGTTCTCCCACTGAAAACGCTACGTCCAGATGAACAGAATCAAGCTTTTGGGATTTACTTACCTGGATGATTAAGCATGCATCAAGAAAGCCAAATCAGTAATGTGACCTCCCCCAGTGTACTTTAAACTTATCAGGCATTGCGGAAAATGGGATGCTTTCATAAAACAACATCCAAGGGTTGTAAGAAAAAGAAAAAAACATTTCTGTCATCTGGAAATGGTTGTGACGGACAAGATGTGAATCAAAGATCCATTCTTCAAGAATCCAGTGGAGGGAAAATAGGTGTGGATGAGAACAAACAGTGAAGAGAAAAACAAAACAAAACATAACTGAACTTACTCTTGATGCCACTTGAGGCTGGCTCTCCAAATATTCCTATCTTAAAATTGATTTTTGGCTAGGCTTAAAGTTAGGGGCAATGGGATGCTTCAATTGACAGGTAGCTCTTGGTGTCTTCTAATCTAACCAAGTCAGTTTTTTTCTGAGAAAAACTTTGGTTCAGCCATTTGTCAGTGGCTCATAATGAAATGATAAATACGGTACAGCCAAAAAGATGTTTCTCATACAGCACATCCAAAATGTGGCTATCGATCAATATCCTTTGGTTCTGAGAACACAAGAGCGCAACCTACTTCAAGCCATCTGCACAAACCATTTCTATTATTTGCCAAACCACAGCTGGTGTTGCAAGTCTCCTCTGTGCCATTTTTTTGAGCGATGATCTAGAGCGCTGTCATCTAAGATGACAAATTAAATTCTGTTTGGTTCAGAAGTCTGAAACAAGATGCTGAGACTTGGCCGGGTTAGCTTCCACTTCAAAACATGGAAGAGACAGTGAGATCACTACGGAAGGAGTTTTATTTAATCAGTGAACTTATAATAGAGTGTTTAACTGAGAGAATAAATCTAGTTAATCTCTTGTTCAATCATAATTGTGATCCTATAAAATAACGCCTACCATTTTTAAAAGTGCCTTTTTGCATAATGAGTAGTCTTATAATTTTTTTTAGTATTTGCTAGCTTTGAATAGAATAGAATAGAATAGAATAGCCATAATGTGTACAACCCATAACAGAATATTATTTTGGCTTGTACACTGGCAAAAAGTCAAGACAGTTGACTCGCTTCTTTGCGAAACAGTTACCCATTACAGAACATTCATTGGATTTTTGCAGTGGCAGTACCACACTACATTTCCTTATGAACAAACATGAAAATTTCGTTATGATCTCACGTGTTAAAAATACTTTGTAATGTCATGTTATTTGTATATGCTGCATTCTATTAACACATCTCTCTCAGAGAAAGGTATTAAGAGCTGAAGTCAAATAGTGGAAACCATCACAGAGAAATAAGCTACTATACCGGCTTTTGATATTCTTGTCTTTCTTTTTCCGAAGTGCAAATTTCACAGCCTCATCAACATTGTATTCCCAAAAGGGCAAAAATGTAAACATCTAGGCAAATTTTAAGGAGCCAGAAAAGATTCTTATTTCCATCTCGATTTTATTTAGGGGTTCTCCTACAGTATCAGTAAAGTACAGTTGGTATCGTTCACCATTTATCTCATAGTGGCACTTCTTGCAGTTCATTACGTGTTTATGAGAAGGTATTTTTAAAATTCCCAATTTCCTTTGCAGAAATATGCGTTTACAATTAAGGCTGCCACTCTGTTCTGAGACCTCCCTGCTCTTCCAAGTGCATATGGACAGCCAGATGTAGTGAGAGTAGCAAAAACAATATCTCTGCCTCTGACAAGTACAGATCAGACAGTGACAAATCAAGAAACAGCATTCAAGACAAATCTGGAATGTCTAGCAATTAGAGGGAAACCAAAACAATTTAAAAGAAGGATCATGTATGAGATTTGGATGTGTAGAAAAGTATAAGCTGATTTGTGCTAGCACTGAATTTGCTGGAATTTTGACTAATCTTGACTTTAATTTTATGTAAAATCTAGTAGATAGTTTAGAATAGCCCATTATTGTTATTGCACATGTACAGGGTGGGCCATTTATATGGATGCACCGTAATAGTACGTTAGTTTATGTGAGGGGGCAAAGGCCTCAAGATGGGTGGTGACAATGGTGGCCATTTAGAAGTCGGCCATCTTGGATACAACTTTTGTTTTTTTCAATAGGAAGAGGGCCATGTGACACATCAAACTTATTGGTAATGTCACAAGAAAAACAATGGTGTGCTTGGTTTCAACGTAACTTTATTCTTTCATGAGTTATTTACAAGTTTCTCTTTGTTCACAGCCATTGACATGTTGAAGAAGTTAACACGTGAGGAGCGGATTGAAATTGTGTTGATATCTGGTGAACGCAGTAACTGGGTCATTGCAGCAGATTTCAATGCAAGACACCCTACGAGACCACCCATCTCCCATGCTACAGTCAGCAACCTGCTTGCTAAGTTTCATGAAACTGGTTCAGTGTTTGATTTGCCAAAATGTGGACGAAGAAAACTGTCACTAATGAAGAAACACTTGTAATTAGCTTCATTCAGCAAGAGCCCACAGCGTAGCACTCGCCGCATGTCACTGGAGAGTGGCATTAGTCGAACATCCCTTCGGCGGATATTAGCTACTCACAAACGGCACCCTTACAAACTCCAGCTACTGCAGCATCTCAACGAGGATGACCCAGATCGGCGCACAGAATTTGCAGAATGGGCAAAACAAAAATTGGAACAGGACCCTCAGTTCACGCAGAAGATTTTGTTCAGTGATGAGGCAAACTTTTATGTGAATGGTGAAGTTAACAAACAAAACCACCACTATTGGTCTGACACTAACCCACATTGGATGGATCCCTCCAAGACTGTTGGACCAACAAAAGTGATGGTTTGGTGTGGTATATGGGGTACAACGATAGTGGGTCCATTCTTCATCAATGGAAACCTCAAGGCCACTGGATATTTGAAATTGCTACATGATGATGTGTTTCCCTCTTTATGCACTGAAGCTGGCACGTTCCCTGAGTTTTTCCAGCAAGATGGTGCACCACCACATTATGGGTGCCAGGTCCGAGCATTCCTAGATGAACAGTTTCCTGGAAAGTGGATTGGTCATCGTGGGCCAGTTGAATGGCCCCCAAGGTCTCCCGATCTGACCCCCTTAGACTTTTATCTTTGGGGTCATCTGAAGGCAATTGTCTATGGTGTGAAGATACGAGATGTGCAGTACCTGAAACTACGGATACTGGATGCCTGTGCTGGCATTTCTCCTGTGGCGTTGCTATCAGAGTGTGAAGAGTGGGAGAAGAGGGTTGCATTGACAATCCAACACAATGAACACATTTTATAAGTGGTCAGAAATTTGTAAATAACTCATGAAAGAATAAAGTTACGTTGAAACCAAGCACACCATTGTTTTTCTTGTGACATTACCAATAAGTTTGATGTGTCACATGGCCCTCTTCCTATTGAAAAAACAAAAGTTGTATCCAAGATGGCCGACTTCTAAATGGCCACCATGGTCACCACCCATCTTGAGGAGTTTGCCCCCTCACATATACTAACGTGCCACAAACAGGACTTTAACATCACCAACCATTCCCATTTTATTATGGTGTATCCATATAAATGGCCCACCCTGTAGAACAAAATTTTAGGTGCTCTACACTAAATATGCCTGAAAAAAACAAAGAAACAGGAAGAATATATACAAAATAAGAGAGAGGCACACAATAGGAAAGGATCTGTAACAATGGTATGAAGGCTCCAAAAGCCAACTGTAAATCTAGTAAGAAAGAGAATTTCTTCACTTAAAACTGTGTTGAAGACTGAAAATATTTCTCAAATTAACTCAAACAATTTTTGATTTCCTTGCTCAGTTTATTTCTGCATATTTTGGACTTTTAGCATGAAATACTCTTTTTGAGTTTACTCCAGCCTTTTGTGTCTCTGCAGCAGCAACAATACAGCACATTATGCCTGTTAAATATTCTGGTCATTACCTGCTTACTGTTGGTAACAATGGTATAAATCACAAGCTAGATATAAACATATTTCTATATATGCTCAATTAATGTGTGTTCATGTTTGAAATATGCTGAAATAGTTCAAAATTGAAGGCACACTGAACCAGCAAGGCTACCACAGCATCCTGCAGCATCTTGCCATCCGAACCGGTTTGTGTTTAGTTGGAACATCATTTATTTTTCAACAGGACAATGACAGCAAACACACCGCCAGGCTTTGTAAAGGCTATTTGACCAAGAAGGAGAGAGATGAGCGCTGCAACAGTTGGCCTGGCCTCCACAGTCACCTGACCTAAACCCAATGGAGATGGTTTGGGATGAGATGGACCGCAGAATAAGATGCTCAGCATCTCTGGAAAATCCTTCAAGACTTTTGGAAAACCATTTCAGGTGACTACCTCATGAAGCTCATCGAGAGAATGCCAAGAGTGTGCAAAGCAAAGGATGGCTATTTTGAAGAATCTAAAATATAAAACCTGTTTTGAGTTATTCCACACTTTTTTGTTTACTACATAATTCCGCATGTGTTCGTTCATATTTTTGATGCCTTCCGTGAGAATCTACACTGTAAAAGTAAAGGAAAATGAAATGGGAAGGTGTGTCCAAACCTTTGACTGATAGCGTATAAATTGTGTCAATAAATATATTTAAATAAATCTTCTTTATAAATCTTTTTATTATTATTATTATTATCATCATCATCTATGATCTTAACGAAATCTTAAATAAAGGCAATCATACCATACTGTCGCCAAAGTGTATCCAGTGTTTTCTTTGTTTTCTTTGTATTGTTTTAGGCTCTTTACCTTAAAATATAAAGTGCCTGCAGGCAACTGTTGTTGTGATTTGGCTCTATATAAATAAAACTGATTTGAATGATCCTGATCTAGTCAAGCATTAAGCATTTGCATCTGAACTGAATTCTCTTCTACAGCTGCATCAGGAAAGTTAAGGTTAACGCTTCTGTAAAGCGAGCACTTTTTCCACACCAAACAGATGGATGAATAGCCAACCCTGAGTGTGTTCTTCTGTTCCTGTAGGCTCATCCCTGCTGAGATGTTTATGTTCCTGTTGCCAACTCGGTTATCTTAATAAACCACTACAAGAATAATTGAGATGTTTTGCAGGAAAGATTTGGGGACTTCATGTTGATCATGACTTTGGAACCTTCAAAATGGTCTGTTGACATTTACCAGAATAGAAGTTTGGATTTCTGTTCTGGTAAAAGTTTGGATGGTTTTTGGTGAATAAAAAATAGACCAGAGTAGGGCTGGAGAGAAAAACGTTTTAGACATTGGAAAATATTTAGACTCTGGAAACCAGAGGCCGTTTTTCTCATTGACACTATTAGTTAGACTTGGTGTGCTGGCAAAAAACAAAAACACATTTGCCAATTCACTGAATGTTCCTACAATAAATATGGAAGGAGCTTTTCTAAATCATTTTTCACCTTTAAGATGTTCAAAATACGTATGAGAAAAGTTGGTGTTTGATGACACTTGATTTTCTACCTCACAACATTTAAGCTGCTTTCAAACATGAACTGCAGCTGTTTTCTAGTTATTGCCTGACTGGAGGTTCATGTCAGAGCACAAATGTCAGATAAAGTTGTTTCAGACAAACAGTCTTTAAACTTCTAACCCCTGAGCACAAAGTCCTTGGGAGGCCTACTGACATACTTGTGAGAATAAAGGAGGTGATTACGTGGCGAGTGTGTCGCTGTTGTGCGCGGTCTCCTGAATAAACGATCCTCACTTAAACCACTCAAACGATTTCCAGAAATGAGAATACATCTGTCTGTTCCCACTCTGCATCAATCAAGTTCTTGTAATTCTCTCCGTGTTCAGTCTTGTAATGGCAATTGAAATTGTAATCCTTACAGAAGTCTGCTCGCCACAGTTTATGCATGTGGCTTTACCTCTTCCTTCAGTAAATAAATATTTGGGCGTCTATGTATGTTAATGACTCTATATTCATCTTTCAGTCCTATCAAATTCATATCATCTAATTGACGTTATAACACATTTATAACAAAGCTGCTTCACTTGCACACAAGTACGTATGCAAATAAAAACAAAAAGAAATACCAGTCACCTTTAAAATGAAAGAACACACTGAAATGGGACAAGCTGCATGACGTTACACCTGAAGCCTAATTTTCCGCTAACCTCATTCAGGCAAGAACAAATAGGCCAGACGTGGCCCACAGGCCACACAACACTCAGGTCTAATCTACTTTAAATAACTTGGTTTTCTGACCTTTACAGCAGCACGTTTTACACCCCCCCCCCCCCCCCCCCCTTCCCAACCTTTTAATACTACTAAAGTGTTTACCCTGACATTTTATGAATTAGTGTCGGTGGGTGTGTTACCTCTGAAGGAGCCTGCTGTGCAGTGATGTAGTAGATGAGGAAAAGTCTCATTTTGTCTTCTGGAGTGCCAGCTGACAAACACACACGTTTACACACAGCTTATTCAGTTTATTCTGTCTCTGTAATACATGCTTGCTGAATATAAACAAATACAATTAAAACAACATTTAAAATAACCCTGCAGTTACAGATTTTGCACTTATCCCAGTATGGTATATGATAATTAAGTACCTGCATGTGAGTGTGTTTATGTGTGTGTGTTTGTGTGTGTACCATCTGGGTCACTGATGATGTCCAAAAGGGATTTGTCTAAAGTTGACTTGCTCATCAGTTTCTCTTCAAATTCAAAGTAAACATCCAATTTCCGACTCTGAGGACACAAAGAGCATAAAATCAGTACAACAAACACTATATTCACACTCTGTATTGTATTTTCAGTGCACTGGTACTGCTGTAAACCATCCAGTAAACACTTCTTATCTTTATACATATTAGTGCACTGTTTTGTAATGGTAACATGTTTCCAATGCTAGCAGGCCTAGCCTGTAAAGTGAAGTAACTGTAATTTGAGGAGAAACTTCAGTGATACTGGGTCCACCTAACAAGCAACCCGTATTACAAAGGGTGGATGACTTTTAGCAAAGGTATGATGTCACTGTGCTTTATGTTTGACTTTTAATGGAGAATAGGTTATGTTCAAGATAACAAGAAACACAAATACTCCACCTTCTGACTATTCACCATTCCTATATGATCCAGCAGAGGTTCTCAAATTTCTAGAGCCCTTTGTTTTTAAATATTATCTAAAAGAACATTTTTCCTTGCTTCATTATATTCTTGCTAGTAACTAACTTGCTAGTGATTGGTTAGCTCCAGTAATTGACCCAGCCACGTCTGCAATCTGTCATCTGGTGACAACAGTGCTCCCATTTGTTTAAACAAGCCAAGCAATCAGTTTTTCAACTCAACTGAACTGTCAACCTTCAAGTCCAATGTAATATTAGAGTTTTATAAACTCATTTTATAGTACATAGTCTTTGGGTGTGTGGCACTTAAATTGAATCTCAGTTTCTGGAAACTACTGTATACCTTGATGTGGTCAAGCACTGCTGTGGCAACATTGGTGTGCAGATCAATCAGTCTTTTCTTTTCCAACAGCTCTGGCAGAGAGCTGCAGAAGGTACAAAAAATGTCAAAAACAAGACAAATAAAACTCAGTCTGCATTTTATTACCTATCATATGGTCAAAACTCTTATTGTACCCAAGTCTGTAAAGAATTTGCAACTACAAGGCTGTTTTAGACAGTGTGACACACACACACACACACACACACACACACACACACACACACACACACACACACACACGCACACACACAGAGCTTTATTTTATGGAAATCTCACAAACCAAAACTTAAATCAGATGTTCCCTGCATCAGTACTCATCTGTCCTCTTAAGTTCATGGAAATAATTTCTTTGTTGTTGAGAAACAGACTGACGCAAAACCAAAGACATTCAGTGAAAGGGGTTAAATAAAAAGCTCTGTGTTCACTTTTGAACCATTTAACCATAATTTCACCTCATTCACTGAGTGCATGACTCAGGGACAACCTGCACTGTGGTGTAAACTTTTCTTCCACTCAGAACTATGGAGCCAGTATGACGATGATTTTTTTTTTAGGCCATAAAATATCAGCCTGTCTGTCTGAGCAATAAAACACTGGGACACCTTAAACCCAAAGAACCATTGTAAATACACATATTTTTTGTTTCGTTTTTATGATGAGGAACGTCATTCATGTAAGGTTTATATTTGAAAGGGCTGATTTTAAAATGACCTATGCTTGTTTTGATGCAGTTCAGAGGGAGAGTCGTTTTGCATACATTGTGTATATACAGTGGGGCAAAAAAGTATTTAGTCAGCCACCGATTGTGCAAGTTCCCCCACTTAAAATGATGACAGAGGTCAGTAATTTGCACCAGAGGTACACTTCAACTGTGAGAGACAGAATGTGAAAAAAAAATCCATGAATCCACATGGTAGGATTTGTAAAGAATTTATTCGTAAATCAGGGTGGAAAATAAGTATTTGGTCACCACAAACAAGGAAAATCTCTGGCTCTCACAGACCTGTAACGTCTTCTGTAAGAAGCTTTTCTGTCCCCCACTCGTTACCTGTATGAATGGCACCTGTTTGAACTCATCATCTGTATAAAAGACACCTGTCCACAACCTCAAACAGTCAGACTCCAAACTCCGCCATGGCCAAGACCAAAGAGCTTTCGAAGGACACCAGGAAAAGTATTGTAGACCTGCACCAGACTGGGAAGAGTGAATCTACAATAGGCAAGCAGCTTGGTGTGAAAAAATCAACTGTGGGAGCAATCATCAGAAAATGGAAGACATACAAGACCACTGATAATCTCCCTCCATCTGGGGCTCCACGCAAGATCTCATCCCGTGGGGTCAAAATGATCATGAGAACGGTGAGCAAAGATCCCAGAACCACACGGGGGGACCTGGTGAATGACCTGCAGAGAGCTGGGACCAAAGTAACAAAGGTCACCATCAGTAACACACTACAACGGCAGGGAATCAAATCCCGCAGTGCCAGACGTGTTCCGCTGCTGAAGCCAGTGCATGTCCAGGCCCGTCTGAAGTTTGCCAGAGAGCACATGGATGATACAGCAGAGGATTGGGAGAATGTCATGTGGTCAGATAAAACCAAAGTAGAACTTTTTGGTATAAACTCAACTCGTCGTGTTTGGAGGAAGAAGAATACTGAGTTGCATCCCAAGAACACCATACCTACTGTGAAGCATGGGGGTGGAAACATCATGCTATGGAGCTGTTTTTCTGCCAAGGGGACAGGACGACTGATCCGTGTTAAGGACAGAATGAATGGGGCCATGTATCGTGAGATTTTGAGCCAAAACCTCCTTCCATCAGTGAGAACTTTGAAGATGAAACGAGGCTGGGTCTTCCAACATGACAATGATCCAAAACACACCGCCCGGGCAACAAAGGAGTGGCTCCGTAAGAAGCATTTGAAAGTCCTGGAGTGGCCTAGCCAGTCTCCAGACCTCAACCCCATAGAAAATCTGTGGCGGGAGTTGAAAGTCCGTGTTGCTCGGCGACAGCCCCAAAACATCACTGCTCTCGAGAAGATCTGCATGGAGGAATGGGCCAAAATACCAGCTACTGTGTGTGCAAACCTGGTAAAGACCTATAGTAAATGTTTGACCTCTGTTATTGCCAACAAAGGTTATGTTACAAAGTATTGAGTTGTATTTTTGTTATTGACCAAATACTTATTTTCCACCCTGATTTACGAATAAATTCTTTACAAATCCTACCATGTGGATTCATGGATTTTTTTTTCACATTCTGTCTCTCACAGTTGAAGTGTACCTCTGGTGCAAATTACTGACCTCTGTCATCATTTTAAGTGGGGGAACTTGCACAATCGGTGGCTGACTAAATACTTTTTTGCCCCACTGTATTTAAATTACCCTGTGTTGTTCATTACCTGACAGCAGAGGTTAGCTTCGCTGTGTTGTCTGAAAGCATGCTGATGGCTCCTTCATCTTCCCCCTCTAAGCCCTGCAGTCAGAACAGACATCACAAGAAGTAGCATGCAAAATCATGCTGTAGTGTTTACAACCGCCTTAAATAGGACTGCATCAGGACTAATCTGCCATATAGTCTTCATGTAAGGTATTGTGATTATAACCTTGATTGCCATGCAATATCATCTTAAATTTCTTGAAGTACAACAGCAGATGGTTAGACATGGGATCTGGAAATTCTCTTGAAAACTTGGGACATAAACTTGGACATATCACCTTAGACTTGAAACTCAAAACTGATGTGACTGACCTCTGAATATGACTTAACTTTGTGACTCAGACAAAGCCTCAAACACTGTGAAACTGGAGCTGGATTGTACCATACTGAGTCTCATGCTGTATATGTGAGTCTTACCATGATACTTTTCAACCGTTTGACTTCATCCTCCTGCGCTCTATACGTGTCCAGCTCCTCCTGAACTGACTCTGCAACCTCTGGGAATGGACTGTAACAAACAACCAATTATAATAACCATATTATAATGATATTCAGTATAATAAAAAGAAAAGAAAAAGGCACTAAAGAAGATGAAGTGTTAGTCAGATAAACTCAGACATCATCAGCATAGAGACCAATGTTATAATGTTCTGATACACACACATCCATACACCCTATTACTGTTTGGCACCTAATAAAGCACTTCCTCAATACAAATTTAAATAGCAAAATGTTTGAACATTGTTGTAGTTATTCCAGTGTGACTCCAGAAATAGTAACACAAAGGTTTTTGCTGTCGTCTGTTTAAATTAAATACAGATTTTAGAAAAGTAAAAATGGGACATAAAGCGTTGGGAATATTAACCTTCCCAACGCTACTGAAAATTTATCAACTTTCCTTAAAAGTCATGTCTGTACTGGAAAACCAGGAGATTAAAATGAACACTATCAATACGGCCAAGAAGTGTGGCATCCTGGCCTTAAACATGTCAGGAATGGTATGCCTAGTCCAAATAATATTTAGCCCCAAATCCCACATTTCTGTGCCAAGTTAAGATAAATTGTAGGGCTGTTAATGTTAACTCGCATTAATCCGTCACCTTAAAATTTTTTATGCAATAAACCAATCAGGTGTGCAGAATGACTCAAAATCCTTGAAATGTCTCTGTCAACGCATTTCGGGCAGTTTGTCTATTCTGCGCTCCAGATGGGTTAATTGCGTTAAAAACTTAAAGCGTGTTAATCGTGATGGTGGATTAGCACACGTTAACGCGGTCATCTGTCCATTCAATATTTGGTCAATGCCCTAGCTTTTATTGTTCAGTAAAAAGCACTTTCAGCGGTTACTGAGTTTTAATACCAGGACTATAAGGATGCATTCAATTATATCTTACACATATTAGTTGCACTTAAACTTGCAAAATCTGAAAAGAGGCTTTCACATGTTCACAGATGAATGAACAACTAATATATGGGAAACAACATGTAATTTAATTCTATGATTATTCTGCTGATTATTCTGTTAAAAGATTTCAAAACAGGTGCCAGAAAACAGCCAAAAAGATTTTCTAAAATAAAAATGTCATAAAAGTCAAAGATATTTCATTTAACATCATACAAAACAAAGAAGTCCTCTTAAGAATGAAGTTTAATTTAGAGTTGTTAGCATTTTTACTCTAAATGATGATGATCTAGACTGAAACAAAACACCACCTCTTTGGGAACTGACCTGCCCTTGTGTTTCTGCCAGAACTTGTCAGCGGCAGTCAAGTCATAGGTCTTCCTGCTCTTCTTCTTTGGTCTAGCACCAGCTGATGGCTCTGCCCCCATACCCTCCTCCATCACCACCCTGTTCAGATGGAAGTCCTGGTGGACACAGGAAAACATTTTTTTTTTTAAGTATTGTTGGCTAATATTTTGTCCAAGTGCTATGATTATTGCTGTTAGTCGGTTATTTTGGTATGTTAGAGCTCATCACAGAACTAAAACTAATCCAGTTTTCTGGAATATATTTTTTTATTATAAAACCTGATCAAGAATCCAGGAAAGCTATTCCGAGAAGAAGTATTGGTGTGCTAAAGAAAATTGGAATGAGCTACAGAGCAAAGACAATCTTTCCTACAGCACATCGTTGCTAATTCCAGTACACTAAATGGCGCCAAACGCTGAGAAGAACCATAATATTATTGTTACCATGAAAACAGAGGAGGCATAGTAACAAACACTTGGTGTTACAATCCAGTCTCCTGTTGGGGGGGCGTGGTCACGTTTACAGGAAATAGAGACGGAGATGTGGAGTCGGCAATGCTGCCATCTGGACTGATGCAGCACTTACTGGCAAAACAAGGCCACAAACAGAAATCCATCCTAAAGCAGGCTGACACTTTTTCTTTTTATCTTCCAACAAAAAATCAGTATGTTCAAAAGTTATAGTAAAGTGTCTGATTCAGACTTCTTTCAAGATGCTAATTTCAAAATAACTCCCACACAAACTAAGCTAAAATTGACTAATAACATCCATAAGTCAGGCAGGCTAGATGAGATAACTTCTGACGCTACTTTTATCATTTATATACACTTTTTATTTGTATTGTCTAGCAGCTTTCATAGACGCCTACACTATTCAGCAATGAGGTCTGCCTTACCCATATTAATCAGATCAGATCTAGAAGTTTATTTGTGCTATATTAACCAGATATGTAAAAATCTGACTTTCTAAAAATCTTAACACACTTTCTGAAGAGAAAGTGATAAAGAATAAATATGAGACCAAATGACTCCTTAAGAGTGATGGTTTATGGGCTTTATTAGCAAAAGCTGAACTTTTATGAGAGCAAGCACATTTGTGTGTGTGTGTGTTGATTACATAATACATCATTCACCTCTACATTCCAGTGCTGTCAGTATTAACCTCAACACCTCACTAGTTGACAGCACTCTGGCAAGAATTAGTGTGAGAATTTGTGTGCATTGTGGGAACATGGGGATATGTGTTTCTGACAGTCATATAAATGTGACTATGATTCAGTAAGCCCCCATAATGTGTGTACAGTCATCTGAAAAACAAAATACACCCTCCTTCAGTTCTAAGGTTTTATATATTAGGACATTAATAAAAACATCCAGTCCTTAGCAGTTCTTAAAATCAGCTAAATACAGCCACTGAAAAATACAACACACTACACCTGTTTATTATTTAACAAAAATTAAGCCAAGATGCCAAAGTAGTATATTAGAAATTAGGTACACCGTTTCTGCTTCCATAGAAATTAAAGGGGTAAATAATAGTCAGGGGCAGATAATCAAGTGCACTTAATATGAAAAAAATGAAATGTTTTTTTAATGCTAATCTTTTTTCTTTTTTTTTTTTTAACAGTTTCAATTTTTTTCGGCTACAAATTAGATTTTTGTCAGTTTCAGACTTTGTGTTGTGGGCTTGTATCAAGGAGGAGGGACAGAGCATAGGAAAAATGATGGTAGGTCGCTAACCCATGGGAGCTATGAGCGCAGTAGAGAAATCTAAGAATCGTCCATTCATTTCTCCGTACTATATGGAAATTAGAATTCCCAAACTTAACACAACTTTAATCTTCTTTTGTAACAGAATCTTTTGACATGCTGCACTGAGTAGCATCAAAACTCAAATGACCATTGAGAACTGAAAGCAAAACGGCTCCATTTTTATTTTCCCTAATTGTGAAGCATTTGTCAGAGACCAAGCAGAGACTGAAAAATGAGGCCAGTGACATGCTAAAAGTTACTGTTTCTCTAAAAGTCAATTGAGTTTGACTCCAGAAGCGATTTAATCCCCACAGACCCCAATCCCCATCTTAAAATGTCCAAATTTAGGACAAAAAACAGAATGTTTTCAGCCCAGTACTTGTTAAAGGTTTTGGTCTCTATAGATAGTTTCCCACTTAAAAATTGAATAATGGATAACTGCTTTCTTTTTTAAAAAACTCATCCAATGGAATATTGGAAAGTTTAAAGTTATGGCAGTGGCTTCTTTGATTGACAGGTGTGCTAACAAAAGAGGCTGTAGCTGTTTGTAGTCTGCTAGGAATCGCCTTCACTGAATCCAGCCAATGAAATGGACTCTACTGTGTTTGTGATGGTGATGGCACCATGAAATTTGTTGTGTACCACATGGTTTTGCAGCTTCAAAGACAAAAGGAAAAGCAGAAGTATTTCTGGTCATTCTCAGACAGGTGACTTCTTACCAGCACATCATGAATCAGCGCCTGGTAGGTCCAGGTGTGATGGAGGGGCGTGGCCATGTCCACATTACGATCTACCAGGACAAACAGGGGTCTCTGAAAGCTAGAGGGGAGAGTATAATACTGCTGAGCGTGGTTAAACACAGGGCCAATATTTAAACTGGCAGAGAAAAAATATTGCATGATGGGAGATAGAGTCTCACATGGACTCAAAAACTAAAGTAAACCATACTGATTACCTTTTATTCAGTGGATATCTAAAGCAATATTGTCAATGTTAACATTAATGTTAACATGTTGAAAGTCGATCTAGATCTTCCTCTAATATAAATACATACAGTATATACTGTGTGTTTTTCTACCATTTAACTCCTCATGCTAATGCTAGTTGAGCAACACTACAGAATGAGAATGGTACAGACTAAAATAATAACTGAAACAAAGAAGAAAAAATGGCATCACCTGATTTATATTCCCAATATTTATAATTTTGCAGAAACTAACATATTCGTTAAGAATGCTGACCTGAACTGTCCAGCAGTCATGCTGTCTCCTGTGAACAGACTGTTTCTGGCATCACGCAGGTTCTCACGGAGCTTTTTGTCCAGTTTCTACACAAACAAGTACACAATTCAACACAAAGCATTCCTATTTCCACAAAATTATAATGACTAAAGTGAATGCCTTTAATATTTTTCTGTCCAATGTGTTATTTTTGTTGGAAATCTTGGATGCTGGTATTCATAGGGATGATTTTTTTTAAAACAAACTATTCACCTAAATGTTGTTCCAGTTCACAAAAACAACAAAACAAAACAACCAGATTTGGGTTTCTGAGCAACCTCTTGTTGGAGCTAGGCCCAGGGGGATCAACGTGCATATAGTGATTGGGTGTTAGCCCTTGGGGCCTGGAAGGGCTCAGCCTAAATAAGCCATATGGGCCACCCCTTCTATGGACCCACCACCTGTAGAAGGGGTAATAGAGATCCAGTGGAATGTGGATTTGGTAACATTTGAAGCCAGAGACCATGGTCCGATCCCCAGTTGCTGAAACTCTGCTTTGGGTAACTGGAATAGGTAGCTAGTGGAGGAGGAGTCTGGGCTAGTACTTGAGGCCACTGAATCTGAGTGGAACATGTTCTGTACTTCCATTGCTGACATGGCTGTACGGAGCAGCGGCTGCAAGGGGGATGGTGCCTGTTGTGGTGGTAACTCCCAAACCAGATGGTAGACACTGGAGGTGAAGAGAGCTTTCAAGCTAAAGGAGTCGTCCTATTAAACATGGTTAACTTGAGGGACTCCGGAGGATACTGACAGGTACTGGCAAGCTAAGCGGAGCGCAGCCAAGGCAGCAGCCAAGGCAGCAGCCAAGGCAAAAACTGGGGTGTGGGAAGAGTTCGTTGAGGTCACAGAGCAAGACTTTTGGTCGGCCTTGAAATGTTTCTGGCAAACGACTCAGGAGAGGAAGAGCAGGTTCCCATCAACATGCAATATAGTGGGGATGGGACTCTGCTAGTCTCAACTGAGGTCATAGGTGGGCAGTGGAAGGAATACCTTGAGATACAATGAGCAGTTTTTACATGTTAGAGTGGACTCACCACAGCAACCATTTCTGCTGCGTTTCCTCTAGGACAGCGGATGATAGGAACCGCACCTGGTCAACAACAATACACTTTAATGAAGTCTCATTAAACTTAACAACAACAAAAAAAATAATAATGCCAATTGCCAAAGAGATACACATCTTTATCAACAGAATCCCTAAATTAGAAGGTTAAAATGGTTTACAGACAAATAGAATTCAGAGAGATGTTTTCTTCCAATGAAGCATCACTACTTGGTTCAATGTTGAGCCACTATTTAATAAGAATGATGTGCAAATAGTGAGTTACAGGTAACTTAAGGTTGTCAAAAAAACCTTCAAATACTATACTGACTATTGTGGTCTAAAAATGTTGAGACCAGTTTTACAAAGAAAAATTGACTCTAAAAGGTCAGTTTTACTGACAGAGTCAGAGAGTTAGTCTAACTTTCTAACTGAACTTTCAGATCGACCCAGTGAATAGCTGTCCCAACCTACAGACCAACACACAATCCCCAGAAAATTCTGACAAAAGAGTTCACCATTACATGAAAAGCTTATTCATTCTTCTTTGGCTGGTTTTCACTGATCTAAATTGCCATGTGTGAAACAGTATTACTGTATATACTACATTAGTGAAGAGGACTGATTGCATTTGTGATTATAAATCGTTAACAGAAAACTAAGAGATTTCCACTCCCATCTACATACTTTGGCCACTGTGGTATTGTGCCAATTTGTCCTTACTGTAAACTAGCAAAGCTACTGTGGTTTTGACAGAGTCGAGGGAGTTTGACAAGTTGAGGAGTTTTTACCCCGATAATAAAAAAAGATTGTATTACCATCTAGTGGACTGTAACAGTAACACACCCAACTGAAAAAAAAATGCTTCAGCTAAAAAAATAAACATTGTGAAATCCAGGTGAATTTGTAAGCACACAGATATCAGATATTTGCCTTGGCTGTCATTCTATGAGCCACACTCACCAAGAGTGACGAAGAAACAGAAAAGACTGTCTACAATGGTGTCCATGATGGCCTCCATGTCTGTGTCCTGGATGTCTGCCCTGTTGATGGCTGCACAGGAGTGAAAAAACAGGCAAAGCAGAAACACTTACTCTGTGTTTATTTAAGTAGAAAAGGTGGCAGCTAAAACAACATGTCTCTTCTAGTCATTATATTACGTCTAGTATAGGAAGCTATGCTCACTATATATATAAGTGTGTTTGTGTTGGTCATTCAAGTTTCAGTGACTAAAGCTGTCTGTATGTCATACTATTTCCTTTGAATTTAATAAATGTCAGTACACATAATATGAAATACAAGACAAGATACTCCTCTTTACACATACATATCCATCAGGGTTTTATGACACATAATGTGTTGTGTTCTTTTGCTAATCTACACACCTGATAGCTTAACTCTTAATACATGGATTTCAGGTTTATACTGAATTATGTGCAATTAACCACCATTTGTCACAATCTTAGATCAGTTCATCACAAACTACTTCTGCAATGTGAAATATCCTGCTGATATTTTAGCAGAACCTTTAAATTAAAATATTATTACACTTCAATTAAATCTAAGTAGATTTAAATGGATAAGTGAAATAATGATTTCAGACGAGGCACGTGAAGGCACCTCAGTAGTCTCGGGGACAGATTTGCTAATGGTCTGCACCAGCATGTAACCCTCTTTTAGTGTTAGGGTCATTGTTTAGCTCAGTGTGCCAAGTAGGGCTGCCACGATTTGTCGACTAGTCACGATTACGTCGACTATCAAAATCGTCGACGACTGATTTAATAGTCGACGCGTCGTTTGAAACTTTGTAAGATCACAAAAGACGCAGGAATAAGTGGCAGGATTTAAGAGTGTAATAACGGACTGAAACAGAAGATGGCAGCATTGCATGTACAAGGATGTCAGCTACCGTTAAACCCCGAAGAAGAAGAAGAAGCAGCTGTGTCCCAGAATTCATAGCGCGGCCCAGCGCAGTTTCCAACAATGGCGGCAGCTAGTTAGTTTTAATGTTACTCTTATTATTCTTTCTGGGTCACAAAATAAACGTTTAACATATTTTCAGGCGAGAATGTAGCTGTGTAAACCTCAAATATCTGCTCAGTTTATCAGGACACCACATATTTTCAAAAGCGCTCCGACGTTTTCGGAGACATCTGTTACCCACTAGCTCGTTAGCGAGCCGGGGGCTAGGCTCACTAGCGCCCTGAGAACACCGGACTCCCCGCAAATCGTTTTCAAACCCACCGCCGTCTTTCGCTACTCAGGTTAAATATATATGAGTCACTTAGATAACTTAAAATGTTATTGTTTGGCTTTTTTTTTTTAGTATTTATTTGTTCCTGAGTAAATCAGTTTGTCTGAGATTAAAGTTATAGTTTTTACACAGCTGAATAAACGTCAAGCAGACAACTGATTATCAGAAGTGTGAGATGCTCCAGAATATACTCCAGTGTCCTGTTATATTTTAGATAGCAAGGAGTTTATTAAACTTCACTAAAACAATCTGCAAATTTCATTAAAATTTAATAAACTATCATCTTGTCTTTATTTTTAGTTAGCACAGACCTTAAACACTTAAAGCTGTAAGCTAATGATAGTTATATAAGAGCAGATGCTGCTGGTGCAATAAGCTGTAGTTTTACGTCTAATGGATGATGATCTGATTAGTCGACTAATCGCAAAAATAATCGGTGACTAGTCGACTATCAAAATAATCGTTTGTGGCAGCCCTAGTGCCAAGCAGGTGATGTATATGCCATGAAGTGAACACAGCGGTCCAGGTTCTAATGTGCTCCGGGTTATTTGTAGTATTTGCCCTTACCCTGCTCTGTTCTACTTTGCTGTCATCTCCTGGCTGCTTTTATCATAATAACTCAAAAAAACAAGACCCACAAAAATGATGACCAAAAAAAGGTCCTGTCAGAATTTCCTAAAGCAACACGTTGTGTTTTGTACTTTAATTCCATGTATTTCCATACATATGTTTCCGCTTGAGAGGGCAAAAGTTTTTAGAAGAACAGTATAAATGAATCGCACAAACCCAATTTACTAAGGTTTGCGGTCTGCAATTTGCTGCAAACTGTGCTGGAGAAAAAGCAATTGCTGTGGCTGTGACATCTGCTACTGACAGTGCTCACTGGTTTGGAAAGGGAGGGGAAAAATTATGTTGTCAAAACATCTTGTCCTCAGGCTGTGGGTGCTGTACTGGAGCTCTCTGGTTTCTGTAAATGTATATTTGGATGAAATAATGCCACCACGTGGGGGGTGAGGAGCATTAAATTGTTCATTAAAACACAGGTAAGTGCTACATAGCTAGATTAAACAAACTGCCACACGTAAATCTTACATTTTGTTGACTTGGACTTTCAGAAAAAAAGTTCCTATAGTATTCATTTATCTCATAAATGCTGTGTCATAACAGTAAAGCTGAGTGAGTATTTTTCCAGGTCAGGTAAACCCGTAGGAAAGGGTTAGGAGATGTATGCTCACATGTTGGTGCCATACTCTACGCCCCTCTGACAGTTATAAATACATAGTGAGTAGTGCATTCAATAGCACAGTAACTATCTGGCATTTTTAAACTCAAAGATATTCAAAGGAGGGCTGGAGAATAAAGAACTGCTGAACTGTTTTGCCCACCAAGTCTGGCATGACAACTATGGATTGCCAAGTACTTTTGAAGGACTTCTTCGTGTGTGTACATCACTATCATATACTTTTATCTCTTATATTGTCACTTGATTTTCTGATCTTCCTATTTAGCTTCTTCCGTGAAGCACTTTGAAATGTGACTCAATAAAATGTTTCAAATAAATTATTTTATTAGAAAACAATAATATACATCTAAAAACCTCACAACATCAAAATGCTGTTTGAAGCTTCAGATTTGGTTTTAAGCTTCAACTTACAGTTGTGGTCAAAAGTTTACATGCACTTGTAAAGAACATAATATCAAGGCTCTCTTGAGTTTCCTGTTATTTCTACAACTCTGATTTTCCTCTGATAGAGTGATTGGAACAGATACTTCTTTATCACAAAAAACATTCATGAAGTTTGGTTCTCTTATGACTTTATTATGGGTTAACAGAAAAAAGTGATCACATCTGCTGGGTCAAAAATATACATACAGCAGTGCTAATGTTTGGTTACATGTCCCTTAGCCATTTTCACTTCAATTAGGTGCTTTTGGTAGCCATCCACAAGCTTCTGGTTGAATCTTTGACCACTCCTCTTGACAGAATTGGTGCAGTTCAGTTAAATTTGATGGCTTTCTGACATGGACTTGTTTCTTCAGCATTGTCCCCATGTTTTTAATGAGCTTTAAGTCAGGACTTTGGGAAGGCCATTCTAAAACCCTTATTCTAGCCTGATTTAGCCATTCCTTTACCACTTCTGATGTGTGTTTGGGGTCACTGTCCTGTTGGAACACCCAACTGCGCCCAAGACCCAACCTTCGGGCTGATGATTTTAGGTTATGTTGAAGAATTTGAAGGTAATCCTCCTTCTTCATTATCCCATTTACTCTCTGTAAAGCACCAGTTCCATTGGCAGCAAAACAGCCCCACAGGATCAAACTACCACCACCATGCTTGATTGTAGGCATGGTGTTCTTGGGGTTAAAGGCCTCACCTTTTCTCCTCCAAACATATTGCTGGGCATTGTGGCCAAAAAGCTAGATTTTTGTTTCGTCTGACCATAGAACTTTCCTCCAGAAGGTCTTATCTTTGTCCATGTGATCAGCAGCAAACTTCAGTCGAGCCTTAAGGTGCTGCTTTTGGAGCAAGGGCTTCCTTCTTGCACGGCAGCCTCTCAGTCCATGGAGATGCAAAACACGTTTGACTGTGGACAATGACACCTGTGTTCCAGCAGCTTCTAATTCTTGGCAGATATGCTTTTTGGTGATTCTCGGTTGACTCTTCACCCTCCAGACCATTTTTCCCTCAGCAGCAGATGACAGCTTGCGTTTTTTTTCTGATCGTGGCAGTGACAAAACAGTGCCATGCACTTTATACTTACAAACAATTGTTTGCACTGTTGCTTTTGGGACCTGCAGCTGCTTTGAAATGGCCCCAAGTGACTTTCCTGACTTGTTCAAGTCAATAATTTGGTCCATGCTGAGCTCCTTTGACTGTCCCCATTGTAGCGTTTGTATCCAATGAGCCCTATTTAACTGGCCTCAGAGAAGTCACCAGCTGTAGTCACTCATAATCACTCACAAGAAGTTAAGAGGCTATGCTATGAAGCTCATTTCACTGACAACTTTCTAAGTCACCAAAATTGCTAATTCATGTTGCTGTATGTATATTTTTGACCCAGCAGATGTGATCACTTTTTTCTGTTAACCCATAATAAAGTCATAAAAGAACCAAACTTCATGAATGTTTTTTGTGACAAAAGAGTATCTGTTCCAATCACTCTGTCAGAGGAAAATCAGAGTTGTAGAAATAACGGGAAACTGTAGATTTAGATCACAAAGACAGAAAGGTGTGTGTGTGTGTGTGTGTGTGTGTGTGTGTGTGTGTGTGTGTGTGTGTGTGTGTGTCTTTGTTTTACCATGGTAGGAAATGAGCTCCTTATTTTGATGGCAGAGGATGAACATATCATCTTCCAAAGTGATAAAGTTTAGATACTGATCAAACACCTGAAACACAAACAGATATCAGCCTGATTAATTAGTGCTGGACACAATAATGTTACACCTGCTCGGTGAATCTATTACAAAACCTGTGTTACTGAGCTGATATAAATTATCCCGCAAGGTTGCAAAGAGAAGGAAGCAAAAATAATGACCACAATCTAGCAATAATAATAATAATAATAATGATAGTAATAAAAGCAAAAGTAAAAAAATCAAATAAACCTTTTAATATTTACATTTGTCAAATGTTGCTAATTTTTTTGTTATTTAATAAATTGTCATTGCCTTATTGAAATATTTTTGCATTTTAAACATTTATTTAGTTGTCACTGCACCAAAAAGGAGTGCTTCATAAACACAGAAAGAACGTAACCTTGGTGACTTGGGTAACAGCGTTAGCAGCCAATGCGGCACTGGCAATGTCCTCCAATTTACTTCTACTGATGGCAGAGATGAAGTTCAGATAGTATGACTCATACAGCTGGTTCCTCAAGTCCTACACACACACACACACACACACAATGATGAGATTGCGAATATGATGAACACTGCATTTCTAAAAATTAGTGCGTAGTAGGCCAAAATATCTCAGTCTGACAAGTACTGATTATTGGATCGTTAAATAATCAACAAAAATGTTTCCAGAGCTCAAGATCATCCCTAAGTGTCCACACTATATGTGCCACAATTTTAAAAAAATGACATGACACAACAGAACCAAGACATCCTTTAAGAATCGGGATCAATTCATCAAGTTCTGTTTTCCCTCCACACCAAGCAGCAGTACTTGGTTCTTTATTGCAAGCAAGTTCTGTATTAGAGTATTCTGACAACAAAAATCCAGAAAATATTCCAGTGTGGGATGCTGAGTATCATCAGTTGCTAAAAGATGATAAATGATAATAACAATATTTTGCTGCTGCATTTTTAACCTCTAAGAACCTGTCGTCCACATATGTGGACATCACATTTTGGGATGTCTAGACCACAATATTAAATTTTGCACAATCAACCCAAATAGCAAAGAGATTCATGCAATTAAAGAGTTCAAGAGTTAAAGAGGCATTAGGAGGTTAATGAACTCATCAAATCACAAAAACACAGAAACTTGGGCTTAAATTTAAGAAGGAAAGCCGTGAGCTTTCCTCACAGATGACACAAACACAGAAAAATGATAAATCATTTCTCAATAAAAAGGAAAGGTCAAGCTCCAGAAAGGCGGACGAATAAACGAATAAAGCTGGGATTGTCAATGTTTTTACCAAACTTTAATGACAGATGAAAATTAAACGGGATAACTGAAAAATGATTTGAGCTTTTAGCGTCTTTTAGCTCATGGTTTTGGTCCTGCAACTTCTGAAAGAAACTCTTCTGTAATTCCCAGAGTAGATAAACGCACTCAGGCAAAGAGCTGAGTGCAGCTTAATGAGTTACTGTGTGCGATCACCTGACAAATCCTGTCGATGTTCTCCTCTGTGGGCATGACGAAATAAATAGCAGGAACATCTGGAATAGGATCTCTGTCTGAATGAAGCAGCCTGAACACACACACACACACACACACACACACACACACACACACACACACACACACACACACAAACAAACACAAAAAATTTTCTCTGTTAAAAACTGCAAAACGAAACAAAAGTAAAATTTGGGAAACAGCTGCCCCATAATCAACTGCTACAATGTTGTGCAAAACTCTTGTTTCTTTATATTTTGCTAGGAAAATGAAACATTTTTAGCAATTATTATTTTCACAGATTCAACTGAAGAAATGTATTAATTCATTCATATTTTGAATCTATTTATGAATTTCTATAATGATTATATAACAGCAAGTTTTTTGTTATACACAACTGATTTCAGAAAAAGTGTGTGAAAGTTTTGGTGCCAAAACCACAGCATATTTAAACCGAGGTAAACAGCTGAGGTGACTCTCCAGTGCCTTCTCTGAGAGGAGCATGTGACCAGCTGGCTTTGTGGTGATTACCGATGATTATGATTATTTTTGATTATGTAATATTTTGTTTTGCTGTTCTCTTAAAACAGCTCTGTGTGTGTGTGTGTGTGTGTGTGTGTGTGTGTGTGTGTGTGTGTGTGTGTGTCCTACAGATGCAGAGTGATGCCCATGTCTCGGAGCTCTTTGACAGACAGCAGTGGGGAGATGATGTCTTGGCCAAACCGGTCATATATTAACACCTGCAGAAAAGGCAGAGATCAAAAGACTTTTTCTGACCCAGGCAGAAATCACAAATACAAAGTCTTACTGATAAACCACACAACACTTATTTATGTGACTGCTTTCACTGTGTGAAAAGTCTGGCATGTGAAAGCAGTGATTGCTAGTGGAATGCAGATCTGAGGGTGAACTACTGATACATACATACACTGATTAACAGCATGAAAGATTGAGTTGGGGATGTGGGCTGGCACTGACATCAGCTGATTTGCCAGCATTGTGGCTTAGGTTGACTACATGGCCTATGTGAACTATAGAATTATTATGTATTTATTTATTAAACTTTGAGTTCACCTTGAAAAGCATGACATTCTTCATTACACAGTAAGCACGTACACTGTCCCTTCAACTCCTCTTAGAAACACAGGATGTGGATTTTAAGAGGCTGAGTTAATCCTAAATAAGATTTAACACACAATGCAGCACACTGCATTTTCTGAAGACATTGAGCATTTATGCACGGCGAGTATGAGTCTCAGTATTTAAGTCATGATTTCAGGCTGGATGTTTTTCCTTGACGCCTGTTGAGTTACTGCACTGTCAAAGTGACTTACCTTCCATACTGGCTCAGCTGCAGTGTTCTTCAGAGGAGGTGCATTGAAGTTCAACATTCGCTTCAAAGCGACTGCAGAAATGCAACACAGAAACTTTTATGTTAGGGCACACACAACCAGATCAGTATCCACATGGCTAATAAATACTGCTCCATTAATACTAGCTTAACTGAGAAGCAGTTGTTTCTGTAATCAAAATGTTGTTTTAGACATCTCAACAAATACTCTTCTGAAATATGTCAAGGGTTTAACATGCTTTTTTTTTAATAGTGAAATGAGCCTGGGGATATGGCATGCCATATGACAAAATAAAGCCTAAAATCTTTGCATTTTAGGCTTTATTTGTCACATTTGTTTCTTAAAAATATCAATAATGACTATCTGCTATGATAATCATAATTGACTAACTGTTGCACTTTTGACTAAAAACGAAATTCTGTAGGATGTGATTTTAGTGTGTGGAAACATTTCTCTGAGCATTTCATAGAGAAAATATTTATTAACTTGAAACTAGACTACTAATGCAGTCCTCTGGGACTGCAGTAAACAGCTAGCTTTATTTTTTGCCAGCTATCGATTTGATAATCCCACTAATCACTGCAGCTCTAGATCACACATTGATAAATCTCTTTATTCACTGACCAGACTGCCCACAAAAATATTCAATAAATGTACTTGAATAAAAAAAAGTATATGCAAGAATAAGACATCCACATTCTCCTGTCCATCCAATATTTAATATTAATAAATAATATTAAAAAGCAATACAACAATAAACTGATCCAAAAAACAAAGCTTACTGAAACCATAAGAGTATAATCACATGATGACGAGAGGATTCATCCAGTGTATATGAAGCTAGAAACTAGAAATAGCTTAAGGCTTTCTTCACAGTTAGCAGGAGGCTAGCTATCCGTAGCTATTTCTACCGTAGTAGAGCTAGCAGCACTGATAGCTGACAGGACGACGGGTTAACTTTGGGTAAATAATTTAACAGTGTGGTTGACAAGTTAACGTGTCTGTAAATATAGGAAAAATGAACGAGTTCCGCTATAAATAGTGAAACAGGAACATTAATGAAGTAGCTCAGCCCCTGTTAGTTTAGCGCGTAGTTTAGTTTGTCAGCTATTTAAGAGGGGGAATGGTATCTCAGTCAGACTTCGGGTTGGTGGACCTCTCCACAGACCGTCAGCGCTGCTGTCTTTCGCCTGATATAATGCTAACGAAGGAAAGAAAACATTTTAACAAACCTGTCTGCTTCTCCCGGACAGACGCCGCCATGTTTGATGTTGTTAGTTACGGAGTGACTGATGACGTGGCACCAGCTCGACGTCAGCTCACACGTCAGAGAAGAGTAGAAAGTGAAGAGGTCTCACTCTGGTGCTGTTTAACAGAGAATACAAGAAAGAACGCAGATCATCAAAGTAAAGTTCCGTTTTCCAGTAGACCAATAATGAAATTTTTAACAGCTGTTTTTCAGAGTTATGTGGTCCTCACAAAACAGCCACTACAGGCACTGATTTAATAGAATATGAGGAATTGATTAGGAGTATGAAATATTTGAAATGAGCTCAGCCTTAATTCAATTCAATTCAATTTTATTTATATAGCGCCAAATCACAACAAAAGTCGCCTCAAGGCGCTTCATAGATACAGAGAAAAACCCAACAATCATATGACCCCCTATGAGCAAGCACTTTGGTGACAGTGGGAAGGAAAAACTCCCTTTTAACAGGAAGAAACCTCCGGCAGAACCAGGCTCAGGGAGGGGCGGGGCCATCTGCTGCGACCGGTTGGGGTGAGAGAAGGAAGACAGGATAAAAGACATGCTGTGGAAGAGAGACAGAGGTTAATAACAGATATGATTCAATGCAGAGAGGTCTATTAACACATAGTGAGTGAGAAAGGTGACTGGAAAGGAAAAACTCAATGCATCATGGGAATCCCCCGGCAGCCTACGTCTATTCCAGCATAACTAAGGGAGGATTCAGGGTCACCTGGTCCAGCCCTAACTATATGCTTTAGCAAAAAGGAAAGTTTGAAGCCTAATCTTGAAAGTAGAGATAGTGTCTGTCTCCCGAATCCAAACTGGAAGCTGGTTCCACAGAAGAGGGGCCTGAAAACTGAAGGCTCTCCCTCCCATTCTACTTTTAAATACTCTAGGAACAACAAGTAGGCCTGCAGAGCGAGAGCGAAGTGCTCTAATAGGGTGATATGGTACTACAAGGTCATTAAGATATGATGGGGCCTGATTATTTAAGACCTTGTATGTGAGGAGCAGGATTTTGAATTCAATTCTGGATTTAACAGGAAGCCAATGAAGGGAAGCCAAAACAGGAGAAATATGCTCTCTCTTTCTAGTCCCTTAAGCATCTATAGTAGCAATATCAATCCATATAGCACTAATAGTGAACATTCTTCTCCAGGGGCAGATCTAGAGAAATTTTCTTAGGCTGGTATGAGGGTGGCATGGAAATCGAATGTGGTAGCAAAATCAAAGGCTTTTACACACATGTAGGTGTTACATTCTGTAATATGCATTATATATCGTCAAAATACATCAAATGCAGTAAGTATACACATGGTTCATATAAATATACTCTATAACTTTCTTATTTTCTTTAGCCCATATAATTAAACATTTCAGTTATATAAAACATGCAAATTTGGATTTTATGTACTGTATAGCCTATATAGTAAATAAGTATGTAGTCCAATAAGTATAAAATCCAGAAAGCTACACAACATAGGGTGGTTCATTTAAAAACACAAGTCTAACTTAATTTCAAGACTCAAGACTCAAGAAGTTTATTGTCATTTCGTATGGTGTTACTCAGCCTGAAATGAAATACTGTTTCTCACCTGCCTCTACAGCCTCTACAAGAATAAATACAGTTTTAAAAAAATAAATACAGTTTAAAAAGAATAAGTTTTTAAAAAAAGCAACAAAAAAGGCATAAATAGCATGAAAGCATGATTTCAAACTCTTTTTTGTATTAAAAATAACCAAATCGTTACATGCTTAAACTTACACAAAATGAGTGAAATCTGCACTGTCATGAACACATTTTTCACCAACAGCTCAAAAACTATTAAAGATGTGAGTGAGTGAATGGAATAACTGCTATATTAAATAGTTTAAAAGTAATGTTTGAAAAGCGCATGCCAACTGAAAGTGTAAAGAAAAATAACCTTAAATAAATACCGCATTCTTAATGGATTTTAATTTAGTACAAGCAATCACTGCCAGTATGATTGTTTGTGTTATTATGTAATCTGTGTGTTAATGTGTTTTATCATCTGTTACAGGTTTCTTATTCATTTTCAGTTATATTAAATACATAAATTAAAAAACACAGTGAAACAATAAAACTGGTGTTTCTGACATTATTCATCTTTGCTGAGGGTCCACATAACCGGACTGGACCACAGTCCATCTCTTATTGCCCACTTTTTCATGCCAATCTTTGTTACAGTCTCCATTTATATTTCCCCCCCTTCCCTGACCAACATAAAATGAAAACCTCATATGAACAATTTAAAAGTCTGCTAAAATATATTCAGACATCATTTCCGAAGACCATTAGTAGTTCAATGTGTGGATCCAAAATATTCCAGTTGTGTTGATAGTCTGGGACAAAAACCCTTGTCCAAGGGTTTCAAGGGTACACTAAACAGTCTTTCAGTGCTCCCCTGTTTTCTTGAAATCTCTTGTCTGAACTCTTCATTCAAACAGTTCAAACTAGATCTTTTGTTGAGAGACAGTTTCCATCAAGTTCCATGACAATTTTTTGTAAAACCTCAAATGTCTACTTAAGCTTTGTGGGGTAGCTCAAGACCAGTGAGTAAAGGAGGCCAAACAACATGGCGACTACATTTGCAATGTTATGTGGTCATGAAGCACTTCGACACCTTCAGTGATTATTCCAACACCTTCAAGGTCATCTGTGGGTTCTGCGTCCATCTTAATGGTGAAGATTCCCAGGGTTACCCACATAGTAAGCAGGTCTGGCCCAGATCTGGTATTAAGCCGGCACTGCTGGCTGACTCTTGGCATGATAAGACGTATGTCATCCAGATATAGGCCAGGCCTGGCATAGATAGCACTCTTTATGTGATGGCATGCCATATCTGGACTGATTGTGGTTTGGTCCATCTGGCCCAAACTCATAGAAAACGGGTATGACCCGGATCTGGCACCAAGCTGGCACTTCTGACTGACTGGTGTCATGGCAGGGTGTATGTCAACCAGATGTGGGCCAGGTCTGGCAATGATGGCACTATTTATGTTCCTATTTTCTTTAGAAGACCCAAATGCCATGTTTCAATACTATACTCCTATGGTAGCCAGCGTTTCAAATGCAGGTTTGACAGGTTTGTGAGTGTACACTTTATCCGAAACCTAGTGAGGGTTTACTCATGTTCAACACTGGGTGGCTGTAGCTCAGGAGGTAGAGCAGGGCATCTACTGATCGGAAGGTTAGTGGTTTGACCCCTCTCTCCTCTAGTCAGCGTGTGGAGACTTCAAATGTAGTTAGGAAGCACTCAGTTTAGAAAAAGTGTGTGAATGTGGCATGTTGTATAGAGCACTTTGAGTAATATGTGAGGGTAGAGAAGTGCTATATGAGAATCAGTCCATTCACTGTCTGAACAGAGTTTTGTCATGGTATTTTTGCACTATTATGTATGTTCCAGCACATGTTGTTATTACATGGCTTGATTAAGGACATCTGGGGCCAGAGCTGAAACTGTTCTGGGCCAGCACAGGGCCAGCAGTGTGTCTGCAACTGGCCTTGTGCTGGCCCATGTGTGGGCCACCTCTGGCAAACCAGATCTGGGCCACCAAAGGGCCGTCATTCTTCGCGGTAGGTGGGCCATGTGTAAGCATATTGTGTGGGCCAGATCCGGGCCATACCAATTTTTCTTTGTGGGTATCTGCCACATTACCTCCTGGTGGAGATTCATTACATATCAAACTCAGGACCTGGTGTGGGTCTGACCGCCATCACAGTATTTATTTGCAGACTGGTGAAAGAGTATATGAGTTGAAAAGTTTCATGGAGACTGCAGATTTAGTCACCTTTGTTCACTCGTGTCCGGTTTATTTAAGAAGGCCCTGGTCATACAAGTAGATGTAAGAATGATACACAAGTGCCATTTCTTTTCACCTTGTAATGCTTTTAAACCCTTAAAACCGTATTCCAAAACACGATGCTGTGGGCAGCAATCAGCACTTCAATCAAAATAAACACCCTGAATGATTGCATATGAAAGCAGTTAAAAAATACCTGAAATTTCTAAAACTAACAATAATTCAAAAACTAATATTACTAGTCCAAAACTGCCTTAGAATATTACTGTTGTTCATGCTATGGAAGAATGGCTGCCTAACACCAGTTTAAACTTCAAATGACATTAGCAGCATAAGGACCCAGTTTGAATTTACAGACACAAAAATACGATATCATCAGAATGAATCAACAACAGTTTTTTGAACTCTACAAACAGAAACTGCAGTTTGCCCTCAGCATGACAAACATTTGCCTATACACAAACACTTAAACCAAATGAAATTAACACATTTTACACATCTAAACTATAGCTTACATATTTATGAACTGCCTTGATAAACGAGCAAGTCTTAATCTAACTGTGCGCTGCTTCACCCTCCACAGCAAGTGGAAAACCAAATTTGCTATAAGGACGGCACAATTTATTTCATCACAAAATGCACTGCTGTTGTTGGGTTCGTTTTGAGAAAAACCCAATGTGTTAAGAAGTTGAAGTAAAAAAAAAGAAAAAAAAAAGAAAAAATGCTGCCCTATCACAAAGAGCACCACAACCAGACAGTAAATGCTTTTTATTATGTGTGATAAACAGGACACTAAGGTAAAAAGTTGCAGGAAAGCCACAGTTCTCCTTATTTGGCAAAGCTCCAGCTAACATTTCTTCTTCTGCAGCTTTCTGGGCATCTTATTTAAATGAAAATTAGCTTTTTTTGAAGCTATAGGCCAAAATTATGAATGAAATTGAAATGACAATGTAGTTTCAATTTAATGAGCGTAAAAGTTTGTACATTTCTACTTTCTTCTACAAGTCCTGTTGTAAAGTTACAGCAGTGCAAAATATGCCACTGACAAATGTATTCAGATTCTCATACAGAAATGAAATGTTAAGTGTTATGCTTGATCCTAATCTGCTGCCAACTCTGTTTACATTGCTAGCTTAATAGCTGACACAACACAGAAAAAAAAATCTGTTTATCACTGAGAATATTAAATCAGTAAAGTTAATTTCACTTCCGAAACATCATTTAATGTCAACACATAGACCCCTTGTTTGTTTACATTTGGATAAAATATAATGATTACAGAGTTTTTTTTTTATCTTTATATCTGCAAATATGAACAAAGTACAAGGAAAGCAAGGACAGCTCGTTAAAAGAGGTTTTTGAAAAATATGTACAGTAAAGTATGACTGAACTAAAAGTCAAGGTTACAAAATCAGCACCGTATCACAAAAGATGTTGAGATTACATAACAGAAAGTGACGACGGTTGAAGACCTTTTAATGCTAAATGGATTCCAAGGACAATTCCAGGATGAGGGGCTACGTTTTGGCCATCAATGTTTTCTGTCTCTAAAATGCCCCCCTCCCCCCCAAAAAAAATCTCCCCACACTTCCAAACCCAGAAAAACAACACATGAGGCAGGATTAATCATTAGGCAACTACAAACAATATGTACAAAATCCTCAATCACCATAAGCATAAATGTATTTAAGATATACTGGGATACAATCAAAAGAGAGACAAGCTCTATGGAGAGACAAGCATTAAAAATGAACTGAAGCCTATTTGGTCAAATGTGTTATTGTAAAAGAAACATAGATAAAAACAAACAAACAACAACAATAATGCACCACTCTCATGACTCAGAATGTGTTTGCAAGGTTGTAATAACAGAGATACGATAGTAGCTTCACTTCAGGTAACTACAGCCTTCAAGAAGTGTTTTAATATTGAAGTCTAGCTTTTTCGAAAGGACAAAATTTCAATGTACCCAAACACCTTCAAGTCAGGACTGATCCACGGATGCTGCCGTCAAGATCAAACTATTTGTGAGGCGTTTAACAGCTTGGATCCTCAGCAGGAACCTTTGAGCTTGGAGCAGAGCGCCACAAGAAGGAAAGGGTTTGTGGTTCAATTCATATTCCGTGCTTGTTTAAGCAGTTAAGTAAATAGATAAAAGGATGGATATTTGCATCTAGATTTACATCTTCAAAAGAACATACAGAACATTCTTTCTTCTTATCAGCCAACTCCAAGAAGCCTATTGACAGGAATCGCCTAGTGCTTGTGAGTTTGCACTCTTCCGAGCTTGTGAAGGCATGCTGCGCTAGCATTCTACTAAAGAATATTATACATATGTCAGAAAAAAGAAGAGTATTACGTAACACTGTCGGTCCTCTAGGTATACAACACCAGCTAACTCAGTATAAATGATATAGAAAACACTAAGGTCTACACATTAATACCGTGTCATGGTATCTGTAAACAATACCACTCAACCAGCTACGATACTGAAAGTTTTTCTTGCTGAAGCAAATAGTGATTTCTTTAACAAAACATCAAAAAACCTTGTTCATTATGTTTTAAATGCGTACATTGCCCAAATTTCTCTCTGTCAATCACAAAGAAACCCCTTGGAAAAAAACAAAAAAACAATCAGAGTTTATCTTCAAACACAGATCCCAAACCAGACCAGAGCCAACCCCACCTACTTCTTTAACCATCTGAGGGGAGAAGGTGCACATGGTGGCTGATGGCCTGCTCCATGGAGCTTTTAAAAGCCTGGTAGGAGGAAGTGACGGGTAGGAGGAGGTGTTTGGACTCAGGCTCACTCTGAGGGAAGAGTCCCTCATCCCTCCAGTCCACACCTCTCCCTTCTTTGAATCCTAATGGGGAGGGTGTGAGAGGATGGAGGAAGGAGATGGAGGGAGAAGAGACGGCACTGACAGCTTGTTGCTTGGCACTTCCTGTGGCAAAGCGAAGGAGGTCCTGAAGGGAGATGGAGCTCCTTCCAACTGAGGAAAAACAGAAAGGGAGTATAAACATTTTAGAGCATAAATATTATCATCATCATTTCTGTGGGACACTTTGGGAAAACGTATCAACACATAAAACAGAGAGTTAGAAAAGGACCCACTACCACTTTTATCCATCCTAATGCAATATTTTTTATTTATAATAATAAAAAATAGGATTAACATTTCACCTTCACACTCAAGCAGGAAGTGCCTCCAGAAGGTGACAACGGGCGTCTCTCGTTTCAATTTTTCCTCCTGCTCAGAGAAGTTGATGGTGAAGAGCTGACCAATCTTCTGAGCTGTGAGATGATCACCAGCTTCGCAGAAAACTCCACAGAAGACAGATGGGAAGAGCTGAACCTGATCATAGTACAATGTAATTAGAGTTTTTAGCTTCACTTTTCTTCATTTCAACTTCTGAATACTTTATCTTGATGTTTAATAACATTAATTGCTGCTTTTTATATTAATCAGTCCAGTTTAAGTCACTTAGTCTTTGTTTTCCCATCAAATATTCCCATTTGTGTTAACAGGGTTACAAACAGCTCTGAGACATTTTTGAACTGATTTAGAAAAGGGTAAATTTCTTTTCAAACTTCAGTCACCTGATCAAAGACACCCAAAGTCTGTAGACCTTCCCGAAACCTGAGGATGAAAATAAGCAAAGTAAACACTGAAAATACAAGAAAGACCAAGGAAAACAGGAGAGTTATCACCACAATCATTACAATGGAAAAAGCATATCTTAAAAAATACAAAATAAGACACCTAAAGAAGATCAGCAGGTGCTGTTATAAGGAAGTGTTGTTTAATTTGGTTTCTTTTACTATTAGGACTACAATTAGTAACTAGGATGCACCAATCCAGGCTTTTCCCGTTCTAATATGCTACGATGTCTTGGTTTTATGCATCTGCTGATACCAAGTACTGATCTCATAACTGTGTTAAATTAATAACTGGATTTTCCACTGTGAGGATGAGACTAGTAATCTTTGTGTGTACGGCAACATCAGTTTCCACTTAAGCATTGCTTCCCCAACTCATTTAGTATTTATTCATAAAATAACAAATGACTAAGATCAATAACACTCAGGACCTTCTTGCCTGTGAGTAAAAGTGCGAACTATTGCACCACCATCTGCCCAGAGTTGTATGTAACAAAGTTTAATATATAAATGGAAAATAATATTTGTGTGTTACTGTAGAGATGGATGGATTAGGATTCTCCTTAATGAGAGTAGGTCTGATTGAGGTCACATTCAAAGAATAGGTTTAATTACATTTAATGACTTAAAGCAGTACACCTCTGATGACCATAGTGGTAATATTTTTGTAAATTAGAAAAGGAGAATTATATTTTGACAAGCTTTTGTTGTTTTCTTTGTTTTCTTTATTTATATTCAGTGATGGAGTTTTAGCTGTCCATAAAGAAAACCGGGGTCATTTTATACTCTGCGTCTTATATTCAGAACAACGGTCTAAATAACATAAGCACCAGTTCAAGCCACAGCAGCCCTTTCTCCTCTAGGATAAAGCACACGGGGTCCTGGCATGCTTACGCTGACTTTGCTGGAGAATTACCTTCACTTTTCTTACACGGGAGCGATTAAACATCACACGGGCCATGCACTAGGGTGCTGCTATAACTATTTAAGACTGATTTCATACACATTTATGGGCACCTCTATTAGGTGACATTCAGAAAAGATCAGGACTGCAGTGCATGCAGGAAAACAGCCATCTACTGTACTTCCATGTTTATTTATCTTACCTCTGCAGTGGCAGCTGCATCCTGGTGATTATGGTGAAGCTCACCAAATCCTCCACCAGAGCCTCTCTCTCCTTCAGGCTGCTGATTGGTCGATTACAGCCAGCTAGTTCCAGGTACTCCCAGCTGACTGCCATGACTTCTTTTAGCTCTTCTAAAGACTCTGCCTCTGTGATCTGAAATGATTCGATCTCTATTTTAAAACTACCTATAATTTTATTTTATACGTTTTTAGCCACTGTGCCTTCCATGAAAGTTTGTCTTGTTCTTACCTTGGTGACCTGGTGGGTGAAGTGTGTGTCAGGGGTCATATGTGTGACATTGAGGGGACGGTTGGCTGGGTAGTTGAATAGACACTGATAGAGAGCACGCGAGAAGAAGCCAACAGGTGGACCACCATGGACCAGAGAGAGGGCCAGCAGGCAGCCGACATCAAAATAAAGGTCCTCACGCAGAGCTGAATAACATACACAGTCAGTGTCTTTGTTCAAATTTTTCATTTACATACAACTGCATAATGGCTTTATAACACAAAAATAAGCTTTGGAAGTACCCTCTGAGTCCAGCGCCAAGTTTTTGGATCCATCTGGGCCCTCGAACACTACACACTCCTGTATCTGCTGCATCAGCAGCTTCAGGAAGTACTCCTTGGCTGTGTCACTGTCCCAGAGGTTGTTGGGAAGGGGAGTCTGATCTATGTCTTTGAACCTGGACAAATAACATCCCACAGTAAAGAAGACAAATAGCAAAAAGTCTAAACAACAAGCACAACTCAGGAAAGCTTTTCGCCACTGACCTGACAGACAGGGTTTGTGTGGGGTCAAAATCAGCCCTCCTGACTAAGTCGAGACCAGCTGACAGAGCCTGGTCCCCGATCACCTCCACCTGGACACTTGGGGGATGAAGCTGAGGGACCAAAGACTGCAGGAGCTCTTCAGGCGATCCAGATCTTTCGGGTAAAGATGGTCTAAGAGACAGAGAGTGACAATTAAGAACAAATCCTGCATCCTCGATGAGGTACTGGCAGGTTAACTTGTACCTTTTACAGCTGATGGAGGAGTGAACTGAAGGCCTGTGGCGTTTGGACAGCAGACTTCTCCTCGGACCTCCCTGAGGAGACCTAACAAGGGAGGCTGGAGAACAAGGTAACACGGTTCAGAGTGTTTAGTCATCTCTCCATCAATTTATAAAGCAAAGAGGAGGCAGAGCTGAGTGACATGTTGTCTCAGACGTTGTCAAATATGAAAAAAAAATGGAAAAGGTAGGATTAGCCAGTGTTTTACAAACATGGAACCAGCCATCATTAACCACCCATACCTTTCCCATCTGTCGCTTGTGTGCAGTCAGTGCAGGCCCAGTCTTTAGTGTCCAACTTTAGTCCCGAACATTTCCTGTGAGTCCCTCTAGAGCCACACAGTCGGCAGCGGATCACCTCAAACCATCTGAGAAACACAAAAACAGAATTATAAAGTGATTCCCATAATATTTCCTAATCTCTAGATGACGAAAGCCAGAGAAATATCACTAATGATTATGCTTCACACAGCTGAGGAAACTAAGATCTGCTCCGCTGAGACAACAGCACTGAATTTTTTTATTCCACTCATTTTATTGCTACACTTTGCCAGTCTTGATGCCTAACATAATGTAAAGCACAGCATTAGCACACAAACAGCTGCCCCTGTGCTAATGTGGTTCTGTTGTTTAAAGGATTTTAAGTTTTTTTTTTAACAGTAACTAATGTCTTTATTTGATAAACAGCAGTTATAAATATAGATCCTTAGACGCAACTTTACTTCTTGACTATTTTTCCTGTTGGCTCTAAACAATTTTACAACATTTTTAATGTTCTATAAGAAATAACGTATGACCTTAAAACAAATACTTTTTTGTACTTAGTTTTTATTCTTTTCTTGTTTCTTAATCTCAGACTGTTAAACACCACTTAAAGGAGCAAATCTGAAACTGTCTCCAATAAGTCTGAACATTAATTGAATGGAAAAACTATTGAAATCTGATGGATTTCAATAGTTTCTCCACTTATGTACTGATATTAACCTTAAGAAACTCTGCTAACTTAAGAGTCTGTATTTCTTTAATTCAAATAGGCCAAACTTTATTAATGTAATAACGCTTGCTGAACAGTGACATTCATAGACACCTCACCCTCATCTACCGGAACTTCAACACTATACAGTCCATTACATACAATCCATTCATATTGCTATTCCTTTTGCACATTATTCAAACTGCTGACCGCTGTATATTTGACATATATGTATAAACACGCACGCACACACACACACACACACACACACACACACACACACACACACACACACACACACACACACATATATATATGCACATATATTTGGAATACATATTAGTAATGTGCATACATTACTAATATACAGAAAATGTTGTTTTTACAAGCATCCTTAGATACGAAAGATACAAATCTGTAAACTAATGAAAGAAAAATATAAATGCCATACCCGCTCTTGGCAGAGTGTGTACAACCATTGTTGCAGAGGCAGGTGAGAGCGTCACAGCGTTTGTAAACCTCCAACAGTTCTGCATATGCATTTGCCTCCAACTCCCACGAGGCATCTCTGCAGGAAGCCCAGACAAAGGGTTCAGGTGGGGGGGCAAAAAACAAAAACAAACCAAAGCAAATAACAGTTTTTCCTGGACAAACAAGTGCTGAAACGCTGCAGATATAATTTAAGGTTACCTCTCTGGGATGTATATTCCCATTCTGAGCATTTCCTCCTGGAAGTTTTCCTTGTTGTTACACAGGGTACATCTAAAGAAGAACAGGCCTGCACTGTGGGCCTGACGCTAACACACAGACACACGCCAATAAAAATACACAGAAATACAAAAAGTTACACATGCATTGTACTTTTTATATACAGTGGTCCCTTGCTATAACGCGGTTCACCTTTCGGGGCCTTGCTGTTTCGCAGATTTTTTTTGAGCAATTTTCCATACAGCGCATTGTGTTCTGCATCCTGATTGGCTGTAGAACATTGTCAATCAATCTTGTGCAGTGTCTCCTGTACAGTACAGAATCCATTCAGCTTGTCAAATTTACACGTCGACGAAACATTTTACACTGTCCAAGGCAGCCGCGGGTGCCTTTGGTTTCATTCTATAATACTGGACTTATTTTTCTACGAAGGTTTGAACTTTGAGAGTGTTTAAACAAAAGATACAAGTATGAAAATGTTCATGCCTGTCTGAGAAAAATGTATAAAGCGTGTAGTGAGGGATTTTACAGCCTTAAAACATCTATAATAATTGTAAAAAATTAAGTTTGCTACTTCGTGGATTTCACATTTTTGGAATGTAACTCCCACAATAAACAAGGGACCACTGTAATATGGAGTGTAAAAAATGAATTTAATCTTCTCAAACTGAATGGACACAGTTTGGTGGTAGAACTGCAGATAATCAATTCAGCAGAGTCCAGTATGCAGGACAGCCATATAAACCATTAAAAAAAATGCAGGACCACATATTCAGGGAATATTTCAAAACATTCAGCTCCCATGAAAGCAAAGTCGAGCTGCATTTCCTGTAAACCTTTCTAAATAGTACTAAATAGCCAACCCAACATATAAAATCAGGGCTCTCTGCACACTCATGGTACCTGCACACAGTCTCTGTGGAACCAGCTGGTATGGCAGGATGGACACTTGAGGATGGAGTAAGACAAAACGGGATCAATAGAGTCCAGACAGATGGAGCAGGATCGAGGCAGACTGATGTCTAACCCAGTACACAGAGACTGGGAGGGACTATGATCTGGACAGTAAGATCTGGACACACAGACAGAGGGGCAGTTACTATCTTTTATATTTACAGTATTATAGTTTAGCAGTTTTATGCAGCTGCAGCTTGGAAGAGTTTTGCAATTTCTCTGCAATTTGGTGCATATACTTTTTAAAAGGAACCAACACTATTGAAGCTGAACTTTGACAGCATTTTACAGCAGTTTATTTAAGTTTTAAGAATTTAAGTTTTAAATTCTATGATAGTTTGGACATTTTTGTAATTCAGTTTTCAGTAGAATTAGATTCTTTTTGTGGCAGAAACAGTTTTTTATGGGTTCACAAAGAAGAGGTACATCTACTTCTTAATTTTTTCTTTACAGATACATCACTCCCAAAGTACTTGGTGATAAATGAATAACAGTTTCACCTGCCTCTCTGACAGACTCCACTCTTAAATCACATCTGTGGATCTGCTGCAGCAACAGAGTAAGGATTACCACTTCTAGATGCAGACTGAGATGGTGTAGCTGGAGTAGGTCTAACCATAGAACTGATGAGGCAACAAAGTAATAGGCCAAGAAAATAAATGGTGTGTTCTCCAAAGAAAGATCCACGATGTACTATCAGCTTCAAAGAAATAATAGCACAGGAGGAGACCCACCGAGAGCTGAAACTAAGCAATACTGGAAGAACATTTTGGAGAAAGAGCCAAGTGCCTGGTGGAACTCAGAGCAGACCATAGCTTTCTAGAACAAGAGCCAGTCAACAGCCAGTCAAAGACAGACATCCAACAATGAGTCTCTGGAATGAAGAGCTGTACACCATGAAGACCTGACACGAGCCATGCCTACTGGCTGAAGAAGCTAAATGCACTCCATGACCACCTTGCAACAAAAATAAATGGTAAATGGTAAATGGACTAGTTCTTATATAGCGCTTTTCCACTCTTCTGAGCACTCAAAGCGCTTTACACAACTTGTGCATTCACCCATTCGCACAAGCACAACTGACATTCACACACATTCATACTCCGATGAATGCATCGGAGAGCAATTTCGGGTTAGTATCTTGCCCAAGGATATTTGGCACGCAGACTAGGGGAAGCCGGGAATCGAACCACCAACCTTCCGATCAGTAGATGACCTGCTCTACCACCTGAGCTACAGCCACCCTGCTGCTAACAGCAAATACTCATTCATCCAGCCTCTCCACATCATGACAAGATGAGTAGGCACTGGAAATAACACCAGAAGACATTCCCAGTGTGGTCAAATGGTTTCATAGAGGCGAGGTGATTCGAACTAAAGGGATGGAGCCACCAGAAGTCAGACTAAAAGATATACTGGACAACCAAAGTACCTAGGTGTCCCACAGGGTGAAGGAAAAATGATAAAGATGCCTGAATGTCAACAAGTCAAATACCTTCAGAAGGTAAGACAGGTGCTCCATCATTGAGGCTCTGTGAGCAATGGAAAGAGGAAGGGCAGAGATTAGTGAGTGTCAGACCCACAATCTAAGAAGATGACCCCCGAAGATGAGCTGAGATCAGTAATCAGGAGCATTAAATGGCCTAAATGACCTGTATTTATATAGCGCTTTACTAGTCCCTATGGACCCCAAAGCGCTTTACATTTCCAGTCATCCACCCATTCACACACACATTCACACACTGGTGATGGCAAGCTACATTGTAGCCACAGCCACCCTGGGGCGCACTGACAGAGGCGAGGCTGCCGGACACTGGCGCCACCGGGCCCTCTGACCACCACCATTAGCAGCTATAACCCCAAAACTGGAAGAGTGGCTCCTGCAGATTCCCAGCACAACATCAGATGATTCTGTCCAGAAGAGAGCAGTCCTACAAAAAGCTAAGTTACTGCCCAGAACCCTATATGTACCTTAGCACACAAAGTAACTTGCTTTTGGTCAGTTGTTTCTTTGCTGTAACAATGTTTGTTGGCAATAAATTTTATACCACTGGAAAGTCTGTTTATTTTCTCTTAAATGTTGCCACATTTGTAAGCAAAATGCATTTGTGGATTAAGCAGTAGAGATGAGAATGTGGGTTGCATCCATGACAAATCTTAGTATGTTGCCCTAGTACGTTTGTCATACTAGGGCGACATAGAAAGAAACTAACACCCATGCATGTAAAGCCTATGTGTGGCAAACACTGAAAAATCAGCTTGTGTATATCTTTTATGACTACCGTTTGGCCACAGCAGGAGTATTTCATGTTAGCAAACAGTGCTTTATGCCTTTAACCAACCTACAAATACAATTAAAGAATTTAATGTGTTGTCAGCACTCACGGGAAGAGTCCAGTGAACTGGGAGACAAACATTTGCTTCCTCCCACAGGGGAAGTGAACCATCTTCCTACAGCTCCTGACATTACAGCCGACACATGCTCCCTTCTTCTTACAGCCAAAACATGTCTGAGACACATATACAGCACACAAGGAAACAGTAAATACAAACAGGCCCGCACACTTCAATCACAAATCACACCTAGAGGATTTGCTGTTGACCAAATGTAGAAGGGTGTTGGGATCTTATTTGTTGTATTTGCTCTACAGTATCTCACAAAAGTGAGCACACCCCTCACTTTTTAAGAAATATTTTATTATAATTTTTCAAGGGACAACACTGAAGATATGACACTTTGATATAATATAACAGTATAAATTTGATGTCTAAACTGCTGGCAACAAAGACGAGTACGCCCTTAAATGAAAATGTCCAAATTGTGTCCAACGTGTCAATATTTTTTGTGGCCACCATTTTTTTCCCTGTGCCGGCAGCCCCAAACCGTGACATTCCCACCACCATGCTTGACTGTAGGCAAGACACATCTGTCTTTGTGCTCCTCACCCGGTTGCCACCACACATGCTTAATATCATCTGAACCAAATAAGTTCATCTTGGTCTCATCACACCACAGGACGTAATTCCAGTAGTCCATGTCTTTAGTCTGCTTGTCTTTAGCAAACTGTTTGTGGGCTTTCTTGTGCCATGCAGACCCATTGTATGCAGTGTGAGGGGTGTACTCACTTTTGTGAGATACTGTAGAGCTCTTAATATATGCAAGGTAATAATATTGAACTGCTCACCAGTCGAGCTGACCGGCGGGCCTCCTGTTTGATGTCCTCCACCAGGAAACCGAAGATGCCTTCGTCTTCCTCTCCTCGCTGATAAACTCCACAAGATGTTAGCTGAGACAAACACATGCTTACAATATTATTAAGACACACTCTTAACAAACAGACCCTTTTAAAGCATTTTTAATCTAAGAAAATACATCATTGTCACTTTATTTGTGGGACAGAAAAATACAAACCATGAGCCCTCTTGTTCTGTGGTGACTGTGCTCCCTCCTCTAATATTTACCACCAAATAAATTCACTTAAATCATAATGAGGTCATAGAATAAATCATTTCCTTCTTTGTTTGCTTGTTTTATTTATTTATTTTTATATTCGATTGATTGTGACTTGGTTTGTACAAGTCTTTCAGAAAGAATATTTTTAATGCTATAACTGTTGGTCAGGCACTTGTAAAGCAAGTCTCAATAAAATATGCTTGAAGGCTGAAAAATACATATTCCTGTGAAAACAGAAATACTTGCAGGCGTTGTCTTACCAAGCAGAAGTAGTGGACAGAGAGTTTATGTTCTTTGAGTGTGACTTTCTCCCCAAACATGGCTGGGTCATCATCACTGCACCTACACAAAGCACAGCCTGCAGATACACACAAAATATGCAAACCTTCATTCAACTAAAAAAGCTTTCTCAAGGCCCCAAAAGACATCATCATAAACACTCATTAAGGTTTTAACGTATGTAAGGAGAAATGTGAAGATATAGCTTTAGTTGCTGATTTTCTTTTTTTAACAGTAAGAGCACTATATCTAAAACCACAGCGACAACACAACAGAGCTGAAAAGTCAAGCCTAACACACAACACACAATGGCTGGAATTAGCAGTCAAAAGGTGGTTTAAATACACATTTGTCAACAAAAAAAACAGCAGCAGGAGATATTGACTTCCAACTGTGTGTGAAAGTCACTCACACTCCTCCTGGACACTGTTTGTGTGTGTCTCCTGCGACCTCCTTGCCTTTTTCTTCATGTTTGTGTGAATCAACCCTGCAGGAAAATGAAAGACCACATTTACTGAGCTTTTACAAACACTGTCATCACAACATGCTCACTACACAACGCAGTGGGTTATTGAACAAATGCTTCCAACCTGACCATATTTGACTTCCCTGAAAAGAATTCCAGGTTGACGATAAACTCCTAAGCTTTCCCATTTTTACTAGTTTTTTCATAAAAATGATTTGGAATGAATCTAGAGACATATTCTAGCCCCAAATACCTGTCACTGTACGGTCATTAAACTGAAAGTGAAGCTAAAGTTCAACATAAAATTTAGAGCTTAAATTTGTTTAAGCTCTAAGAGTAAGGCCTGCACCACTTGCACATATGCAGATATTTCAAGCAAAGTCATTATGATATTACAAAAATTACATTATATAACAAGAACAATTTGACTCATCACAAAATATATTTTTTTAATTAAACAAATAAGAGTAGAAAGTTAAAAGAAAACTCCCCCTCAGCGTAAACTTTAACAATAAAATACATTTAGAATGTCTGAGGATTGAAGAGACAACACTATTTATTTTAACGTAATGTATCCTTTAGCATTCATGGTGCCTTTACGGATGTAATAGCTTAAAAAACAAACAAGCCTCCTTTCAGGTGCTTTCGTGCTCTTTCTTTGTTACCTGGGAGGACATGCCTACAGTTGCTCCTACATTTCCAAAAAATATGTCACGTTTTTATTCGTCAGGCAAAAGGACTGTTTTATCCATTTCACTTCAGCAACCATCCTGGTGTCAACTCCAGGCAATTATTTAGGCAGAAACAATGCTCTTAAATTATTTAGGCAGCCTTTCAGATTAATCTGCATTTTTCATTTTTTATTCAGCCTGTTTGAAGCTTCTTTTTTTTTTTTTTTTTTTAAATACATATGGTTAAAATACTAATTGAATTGAACAAGCGTATATTTTTTAGCAAAAATAATATTTTCTTTTGATTTTATTTACATTTTACAAAGAGGTCTCACTTTATTAGAAACAAAGTTGTATACCGGAAGTCACTGACGGCCTCTCATAAGGTTAATCGAGCCTGAAAGTCTTACAGTGATGTCTCGTTTTGTTTTGTTACACACACACACCGAAAAAAAAACCAAAAACACATAATAATATCAGCTAAATAAAAATAAAAAACAACAACAATAAAAAAGTAATCTTTATGCCTGGAAAGATTCTTCTTTTGATATTTCCTTAACTACAACTAATATTAGTATTTAACTATAAAAGCATTCAAATTATTTTCTGTGGCAGCTCTAAAGCTTCCGTTGTGCTAAGATCGACAGCTCTCTCTGTTAGACCTACAGTCGACCAAATGTTCCTAACATGATGCCTAACATTGCGTTATAGCTACTCCATTATACTCCTATCTGTAAACATTTAGTCGGAAAAATACATTAAGTGCAAGAAGGAAAATAGGAGTTTGAACACGTTCAGCTGAGACGCTGACATCAAAGAAAGGCTCGGTTTCAAACGCAACCTAAACACTACAAAATGTTTCTCCGGTGACCTACTTTACATTCAGGGGCGAAGAGTGTTAGTTTGCGTCCATTTTCCTGTCGTTTTTGAAGGCTTACTCCCAATGCTTTTGTTTATTTCCGACTAACACCGTCGAGTTTTTAAATTTCCCTCTTTCAAAACAAAAGAACCTTATTTCCGCTTCCGCCTCTTCTTCGTTTGCTTTAGAGGATTTTTCGCACTAGGTTCTCATTTGCCTACATGCGCGCCCCCTGATGGTTGGTGTTGATAATGCTCTCAATAATATTAAATATCTCAACAGATGGTGAAAAACTAAGATATGTGGAGGAAATAAATCCTGATTAAAAACAGTGTCTCCATAATATATACACAAACTACATTTTTAAGGTAGGTAAAGTTTTCAGAATTTTATTAAAATGAAACTTTGGTAATCATGATACACACTTGGTATTTCAAAATTAACATGAGTTAAAGGTTATGACTTTGAAACAGGATCTCATTATTTGGACTTTTGAATAACAACAACAACAACAACAACAACAATAATAATAATAATAATATGGTTCTTAGCAGGCCTTAAAATTAGGTAAATGCAGCCTCAGATGAACTACAAAACATGACATAATACACAGTGTTATTATTTATTAATAAACACTAAGCAAATATGCAGAAACAGTTTGTGAAAAAGCAAGTAAGTTAATAAGATTCAGTAACTTAAGGAACCACCTCTGCCAGTAATAAGTCACTTGAAGGTTGAAGATTTTTTGTCCAATTTTCTCCCACATCACTTGTGGGGGAATTTTAGTCAACTTTTCTTTAAAAAAATGTTGCTTCAATTCATTGATGTTTACAGATATTCCTTTATGAATAGCTCTCTTAATAACTCACTACAGTATTTCAGTCTGGTTGATGTCTGGACTTTCACTGGCTGCAACACCGTGATATTTTTTTCTTTTTAGATTTGCTACTGTGCTTGGTCTAACTTTGCTACTGCATGATCCACTGAAAGGAAAGGTGTACACCCTTTTAAACTATACAATACCAGGAGCATCCAAAAAATAAATATCTCTAAAGTGACAATTTCTGTTTTGGCCCTTGGCTATTTTAACTTCCAGCAATTTAATCCTTATAGAACACATATGCTGCGGTGGTTTTTCAATAATAGTGGGTGCTACAGGACAACATCTCCCTATAACAACAGCTCTATTTTCACATTATCATTCAAAAACTGTATTTACACAGTTTATCTTTGTTTATTACCATTATTATTAATAGTAGTAATAGTAGAAGTAATTTATGATCTGAAACATTTAAATGCGACAAATATTTTTAAAAAACTAACAAATCAAGAAGTAGGCAAATATTTTTTCATGGCACTATTTAACATATATTGTTGCACTTGTCTCACTTTCTTCGCTGTCCTAAGTTACTTTCCACCACTAAAGGACAGTTTAGTGGTGGAAAGTAACTTAGTATATTTACTTGATTACTGTCCTTTGAGTTTTTTTACTTCACAATAGTTTGATTGAAGTAACCGTATGTTGGCTTTTGCTACTTATCATTATACTTCTACTAATATATGTTACTGCATTATTACAGATTAAGCTTAAATTCATTAGAACCATCTCCTGTTGCTTTACTAAAGGAATAGAAACATTAATGAATCAGTATTATGATCTAATCGCTACTCTCATTTATATAAGTCTGCATAATGAGCACTTTTAGTTCAAGTTAAACCTTCCGTACTATTCCATCCGTGGCTTAATTAGGCTACAGTTAGTTTTTACTTACTTTCATGTCATACATCTGTATGAGGGCCTAAAAAACTATCCATGTGTTTAATGTCTGCACCGGATTTGTTTGTGAGCAAATATTCAGTTTTGCCGCTAGATGTGGCGAAAGCACTCCCGTGCTGTTGCTGAGCCTCCCGTGGTACCCTGTCAGAACATTCTTGAAACGTCCCCGTATGTGCGTTGTGTGTGTGTGTGTGTGTGTGTGTGAGAGAGAGTCTGTGTCGTCACGGGGCGAAGGGCGGTGCCCCCAGGTAAGCACATCAGCACCCTCCACATCACAAACACACGCCCAGAGCAGCACACAGAGGAGGCACAGTACTGAGAGTAGCCGAGACTCCCTGGAGCCAGACACACACTTCCCTCCGCTCAGGCTAAGGACGGAGCTCACAGAGAAGGAGGCAAAAACAGCCGCAATATTTGGAAACATCGAAACAAGGAAGTTGGATACAGAACACAGCGGGAAGCATGTTCAGCTGGGTCAAACAGGAGCAGGGTGGCAGCAACAAAGAAGGAGAGATGTACCAGACCGTTACGGAGGGACTGCAGACTCTTTACACCAAGAAGCTGCTGCCGCTGGAAGAGACCTATCTCTTCCATGACTTCCACTCCCCGGCCCTAGAGCCTGCTGACTTCCAGAGTAAACCCATGGTACTGCTGGTCGGCCAGTACTCCACTGGGAAAACCACCTTCATCAGGTACTGACCTACAACTGACTAGTGTTCTTGTCTGTGAAGAGTCTGGAAGGGCCGGAAATTGTACTAGATGTAGGGGGAAAAGCCCACCTCTATTTTTGTTGCATCACTTGAATGTTATTTGTTGGACCTCGTGTCATATCTCGTTAAAATATCACAGTTGAAGACGCGTTTGATTTCATCTCAACTCGAAATATAATTGAAAGACAAACTCCGTGGGGATCCCAAATTTGTGCCGAAGTGACTTTTACTATCCTTTCTTTCTATACTGTGAAAAATATGTGGCATGCTATTGAAAACAACACATCTTAAGGCTCATGGGCATTGGGAGTGAGCTGTGGCATTATGAATGACAGGAAGCACACAAGTTAAATTCACAGCCGTGACTTATGCAAACAGAGTGAGATTTCAACACTACCGTGCCTTCATCAGAGTCAGAGTGGACAAACACACAAGGAAAACACAGCCAACCCTTTGAATCTAATAGATAATGAATCGAAGTTTAAATTATTCTGTTCCACTATTTCAGAAACAGAGAAAAAAAAATGACATGACCACCTCAGTTAAGTGCGATAGGCCAAAGTAAACATAATTGCTATGTAAGTGGGGTGACATCATATCAGGAACAGAACCAAAAATACAGTCTGCTTTTAAAGGTCATCAGGGTACAAAAATAATCACCAAACAAACAACAAACCAAAAACCACTTATAAGCATGTGTCATGGGGCCAAAACCTGCAGGAAACATAAAATACAGGTTAATTACACTGCCATCATGTTTATGTTTTGACACTGTGTGTGAATTCTATAACCTGCAATCATGGAATAAGGTAAAAGTTAACTGGAACAGTTCAGGATCCCTGTCAGTTTAGGTTCCTCCTTCAATATTGGACAATTGCTCAATAAATAATTTAGCTGCAAAAGAAATAATATGTAAGGGCCAGATTAAAAGTCTGTAGTTCTTTTCTTTATGGGCAAACTGACAGTAGAATTGTCCTGTTGCATAAACCTTAATAATACATTTTCAGTTTTCTGGTTAAACTTCCAGATGATTAGGTGTGAATAAAAAGGCAGCTTGGAGACCACGTGCTGATGGAGTGATTTTTATTACACTGGAAGGACTTCATGTGAAATTATGTCAATTTAAAGCCCTTCCATGTTCATGAAAAAGGCATGAACATGTATCATAGCAAATTGTAACATGTCAAACAAGTGAATGCAGTCTCAGAGTAAATTCTGGTCACATAAAATCCAATCCAACTAGCAGGTCTATAGTTACAGGTTTAAAAAACATTTAAAAAATGTCTTTACTAAAAGAAGACTACAGTGAGCGCAATTAATATTTATTTTCAGTTAAAGATGCAGGTCAACATTATCAGTGGAGTTTTCACTTCATACAAAGTTTTAATGGCTTTTGGAATTAAACCAAACTTCCTTCTGTGTGTCTTACCTGCTGCACCCCTGATAGCACTAGCTTAAACTAGCCATAGAGGGCCTTATGTGTGAGCTTGCTTTTAATCTTACCATGCCATTAATAAGAGTAGTTTAGTATTGAGCTGTGTGGGGACAATATTCCTTAAAAAAGCTCAGGAACCTGTTCTCTCTGTATGACCCAAGCTTTGCTGAGAATCAGAAACAGTTTCCAAAAGTAGCAGAGTCTCATTTTCCCATAATAGAAATGAATGTTGCAATTACCAAATAGATTGGCCAATTTTCCAAAGGAATTTTGCATTACTTCTTCTCTTTAGGGTTTTGACATATTTAATCTTAATGAGTTAATCACTAAGGTTGTAACAGTCTAACCACCTCTCGGATAAGCTGTTAGATTAGTTTCCATGAATTTGCAGCCGGGCTTCCTGCAGAAGAATTGAAAGTCCAACATGCACCTGCAGATTTTGTCACTGAAGGTCTCATGTGTGAATGTGTCTGAGCCTTTTTCAGAACGTCATTGATGTAATGTAAACAAATAAGGCACATTCATAACTCTGAATAAGTAAGGAGTGAATGATGAGTGAAAACAGTTGTTTTGGCAACAAGGCAGACCAGCAGATTTGACCTGCAATCCCTTCAAGTCTTACACAAGCTGCAGAGAAACTTTGGCAGTTAGTAATGTGTGTGTGTGTGTGTCTGTGGGGTAGGGGTGGTGAGGGCACAACCGAAGCTCCACCTTGCGCCGGAATGCTCTGAATCATGGGAACATGTTGCCAGTAAATTGCCGAGTCAACATATTTTCTTCTTCTTCTTGTCTCACAAGGGTGAACTGAAACCCTGGTGTAAGCTGTGGCCCAGTGGGCGGCTCGATAGACACGAACAGGTCTTAGTGCATTCTGTTTGGACAGTAGTAGTAATCTGACCAAACCTGCATCTATGTTAATTGATGATAACTATTAGCATATTTTCTATAATGTATAATCCCACTAAAACTCACAATTTCCTAACTGAACACAAATGACCAAACAGTGTAACTGTTACACAGCTATAAGGAAATGCTTGGAGAAATGGGAAGATTATGGGTGGAAGCTCCAAAATCTCTGCATGAATGACAGAAGTAATTATTTCATAGGAAACTAAAGCCTAACAAAATAAGATTATAAACATCTCCAGGTGTCTTTGTGTGAAGAGTTGGGAATGCATTAATATCCATGAATGTTCAACCACTGCTGTAATATATTTGTCCACCTGTCCTTACAAATTAGTGAAGCAGCAGGCAACAATTACTTTTAGCCAAAATATGTCAGCGGTGTGCTAACGTTGGTCCTCGGCATTTTACCTGCCAAGTTTGAAGAACACTGTATGAGCGGTTGTCAAGAAAGGAGAAGAAAAGATATTTCTCACATTTTTCATAAGTTGCACAAAGATAAAAATGCACATAAACAACTACAATCAGAGTGGATCTTCCACAATTTTTCAAACTGCAGCTAGAGGTGGAAATTCTTGTGGATCAGCAGCTGAATGAAAACATGAGGGAAGATTATGACTAAACTGTAAGGCCACGTGACATGTAACATTAAAGGGGCTGTCGTTTCTGACATTTCAGTATAGGGGCATGCACGGTAGTTTTCCATCCTTGGGTCTTGCACACTCTTTGAAGTGTGCACTGTCCACAAAGACAGGAGATGACGAGAAAGAGCCATCTTCCCTCTCTTCCTTCCTTTCTCACTTTTCTTTTATAAGGAAAAGCAAGTGGAAAAGTAGACAAGGTCAGTGTTGAGATGAAAGGAAAGGAAAAAGATTTATTTTCAAAGTCTGTGCAAACACAGCTGTTCCATTACAGAGATCAGAGCCCTGTGTGACTGAACCTCAGAAACTGGCCAATGGCCTGCTTTTGTGACAATAGATCTGGGATTTCCCTTGGCATCAAATTAAAAGTCAAACTGCTGTTTAAGTAATTAAGAATAGCTTTAACGATCAACTTAGCCCTTTTAGTCTCTTTTTTTTAAAGACTAAAAAGGTTAAAATGTGCTGTTTCAGAATCATAAATGTGTGATTATCTATTTCTTGTCTGTAACAAACCTGATCATAAACTGAATATTTTTCTTCTTAAACACCCAGTCAGTGATAATGGGTGAACAGTTTTGGGACAAATTTACATAGTGGTATTGATGTCTGACCGATGTGAAGCTGATTTTCAATAGTTCATAATTAAATGTATCAAACATTGGGTTTCTCCCTGTTAGCCAGTAAACTCTGGCTTATTAATTAACCCAAGACCTAACAGTTTGAAAGCCTGACTATTAGCCTTGGAAAAGTCAAAAAACAGTTTTAGTTGTTACGTTGTTTGTTTTAGCACTTAGTTTCTATCTGATTTCATAGACTTTTCATATGATTTTGTGCTTACAAAGTAATTATTGTAGGTGATTTTAACATGCAGATGTTGAAAATGACAGTCTCATTAGATTCAAGTGGCTGATGAGGTTTAGAAGTATCACTATTATTTTCTACCATGTGCAAACGCAATGCAGAGCAGCTACCTAAACTTTACTCCCACAGAGGTAAATTATTTGATTATTGTGTTACGTCATCACTATATATGACCCTGGATTCTGTGGTTTCTTAAAAAGGAAGGCAACAAGTAAGACATGCTTGACTCCCTGCTATAACTCACAAATGTGCAGCTTAAAGCAGATAATCCATAAGCTGGAGAGGAAATGGCTTTGCACTCATTAAGAAGATCTTTGTTAGGCCTGAAAAAATAGTAAGATTTCCAAGCTTTACAGTTTTTGAAAAAATAGATTAACAATATATTTGTCATCGTTCAAGGAAAACAGTAACAATCCAGCTTTCTTCTCAGGACTGTAGCCCGAATGACACACAGTCAGAGCTCTGTTGGGCCAACCGTACTTTAACTTTAACTTTCACAAATAAAATGTTAACCATTAAAACAATTTTTTGTCATAGGGTAAACACAGATGTATCATTATATACAGCGACGTCAGTAGCTGCTGATATTTACTTAGACTCTTCTTTCTAGCAATCATTGAGTTCATGGCAAAAAAGTCTTTCTCTAAAACATCATTGTGTCTTTTGGTCTAAAGTCTTGTAGGAATGGGGTCTCCATTCCTACAAGACTGCTAAAAGAAGTCTCATTAATTATTAATGTTTTTATTTAAGGTTGTGGTAATAAACCATTACTTAAAACACCCTTATTTGAGCTGTCAGCTGTCTGAGCTAATTGTAGACTCTTTTTTAACCTTTGTTTTATTTAAAAAAGTCTTGTGTTATGCAATCTTTTGGAAGGTGATATTATTGTGTGAACCACATGAGTTGTGTGTTCAACCACATAAAGTTTATGTTAGCCAACATATGCAGGATCTAACATGTGCATTCCATTCTCTTGCCCATGCTTTAGTTTCGGCCTGCACCACCCTAATCTTGCTCAATCCTGTTTTTTATTTTCAGTATAGTTACCTGTTGTATTTAAAAGCAAATTAAGCACTTTTTACATTATTACTCATTAAGAGCAGGATAATGTGCTGTGTTAATGTAACTGTTGTGACATAACATCCATAAAAGTCCAGGTCCCTTGTATCCTAATGTACTATCCAATTGTTAATTAATGATGGAACAACCTTTTTTCTGGGTCGAAGTTTTCAACTTTTTAATTCTTCCTTGTTTTTTAAGCCTCCAAAAACTTTTAGAGCCTTGATGTTTATAGATAAATACCTTTATTTTAATGTTTGAAAACTTAACAGAAACACCTCAGTGTACTCAATAAAACTTCAGAAAGTATTTCAGTTTGGACATTAGGCATGGTTTTGGCAAGGCACTGCTGACCCTAGTAGAATATTCTTATTGTAACACTGCTTTCTATTCACCCTTTTTTATGAAGCCTAAAACGGTGGGGGTACCCAGACTCTACTGAATGAAGGTGTCAAACAGAGCACGTCCAAGAAAAGTAAACCATTTGTGTGACTTGTGTATTTCATTTATTTTTCCATCTTATTGGACCTGTTTTTGGACCTGGATTTTCAACAATGATTTGACCGAGACATTCTAACAGATGTAGAACTTGATTGCAAATTTCTGGACTACACTAAAACAAAGTTTTTTTCGAACACTCTTATTGTTGTAAGTATAGTAAGATCCTGAAAGTCGTTAAAGTTGAACTACATATATTCTGTCTTTGGCTCAGGTATCTACTGGAACAAGATTTCCCTGGGATGCGGATCGGTCCTGAGCCAACCACTGATGGCTTTATAGCAGTGATGCATGGTGAAAATGAGGGGGTTGTCCCAGGCAATGCTCTAGTCGTCGACCCCAAGAAACCCTTCAGGAAACTCAACGCGTTTGGAAACTCCTTCCTCAACAGGTAAAGGCATGCGCACATTAAAGAAGGAAAAACACAGCTTAAACAACCCTCAGTGTCCATCTAGATATGTTTATAAACCTGGAATTCAAAGAGGGTTTTAATATTTGATGTACAGTATTTTATGAGAAAATCGGGTTCCCTCAGATATAATTTTTATTTACCCCTCAGAGATCCAAGTCATTAAGGGCGGCAACCCAAACCTTAACCCTACCCTAAGACTAGGCCAGAACAGAACTATTATGTCAAGATGTGAATAGTTTTTTATGTGTGTTTTGTTGTTTTCAAACTGTTTAAGCAAAACACCAACTATATATTCTGATTGCCTAGGGTTAGATTTAGGTTTGGGGTCATGATAGAGTAGACCTCAGAGGATTAAAAATCTCCATTTTTGGTGTCAGACCACAGACTGCGCAATATTACCCCATAAAACCAAAACACAGTGTACAAAAAACAGACTTTCGACATCCTACCTTACTATAAAATGATAAAAATGTAAGTTTTTAAGAAAACAAAATAAAACGTCGATGCACCCTTGCTGGTAAAGACTAGCTAGTTGGATCGTTAGCCAAGGCCATTTTTTTGTTTCTTTTCAATTTTGAAATTCTGTTTTGGTTCTCTGTTTGAGTGAAATTTGTTACAATAATTAAAAGCAAAATTTAATCATGAGAAAATTATGATTTATTTATTAAAGAGAATATGATGGAGAAACCCTTGTTGGCGAGCGGTGCGGTAAGCCCTTTAGTTTAGTTGGTCACCAGGTTTGTTCATATTTCAGGAGGGATTTTGGACCACTCCTCTTCTTGGTCTGATGGAGACCAAAACAAAGAATCAAGCAAAGCCAATCAAATAAAATGTAACTCAGACTGACTGATCTATAATAGCAACACACAAATCGACCAGTGGATCAGTCCATATACTGAAGAGCTCTCAGGATGTTTGCCTGCTGATCTCCAGAACCATTAATCATTTTAATTGCTGGTCATTAGACTTAATTCCTTTTTTCATCATGCAGCTGAGGTCATCGATGAAATACAGTACAACTGAGAAAACTGGTGATTTCTCCTGATGGAGAGAGACTGAGGAGTATGGAACAACAGATCTATAGACTTCTTAGATGTGCTGTGATTTATTTGTTGCTTTTTCTGTATAGATTATATTCATGCAGACAGAATGCAGAGAGGTTGGATAAATAAGATGGGTGCAGACTGATGTGACATTAGAGACCCGGTCCTCAAAGAGATCAACAAGATCTTAGAGAATAATTCCATGTAATTGAGGGTTTGGTCTTATTTTCTGCCTTTGTAGATTGTTGTCACTTTGTTTCACTACTTTTCACACAGACAGACACACCCAAGAACCAAAGTAGCTAAATCCAGAAGAAACTTTTGAATAGGCTATTTATCATACTCATGGGATTACTTTACATATACTATTCCAATGACGTCAATGTGTAAGTCTGTACATATGTTTACAGCAGATAGCTCTCATTCACGTGTAATACACATTTTGAATATGGGCTTTTTTTTTTTCTTTCTTTTCTTTTTTTCGACGCTCTTATGACCTTGCTCCCACTTTGGCAAACACCACTCCATGAACACAAAGAAATACTGGCACTTCCTCCCACTTCTGTCACTGCTTTCCTCAAAACATTTACAACGTGGGAAGTGACCTCTGTCCCCCCACACTGACATATAAACACTATTAGCTGTCAGATTCCAGAGTTTGTATCAGGCATTTAAATTTAGCTAAAGCCACTCCTGTTCAAAAGTATTTCCTCTGTCCAGAAATATGTCTAAGAGCAGGAGAGAGGAAGTGGACACAGTCCACCCTCCGAATGTCTGTTTGTAAATATACACCTGAAACATTCCTTAAGCTTGAAATCCCGTCTTGTCCCGTTGAGACCCTCCAAAATAAGTTATTGTTTCCAAGGGGAAGTGTGTGTGTGCGTCACCATGTGTCAATATGGTGGCTTTGTTTTTTCCCGCTGCCAGCCTGCTGCATCCCTGACAAGTCAAGGCAATTTATAGCTCCTGTAGCCTCTCGACTAAATTTAGGTGACAGGGAGATTAGAAGTACAGTGACCAGAACCTGGAACATAAGAGAGAACAATGATAACAACCAAGGTGTAATAATAAACTAGTAAAGCAAGTCTAGCAAGTCAAGCAAATCTACATGGTAATGTATAGCCTATAAAAGACGGATGCAACCAACGTAGCATCCCCCACTGGTTTCTGTATTTTGCAGGCTCAGCATTATGTTGTAGTTGCGAACGTAATGGTTCTTTTGGAGCCAAGAAACTGTATTTGCACGATAGTGTGCAGTCCAAAATTACCAGCTAATGCAAACAATCGTAGTTAGAAAGTGGGTGTATCCAAATGTCACAACTATAGACGAGGTCCAGATTATTGACTTAAATATATGCAGCTGCATCAAAGAGCAAACCGATATGCCACATTATCCACAGAAGAAGTTTTTTTTCTTTATCATTTTTGACTCTTTTTGAACATTCTTTGACCTTTGACCCCACCTTTTGTTTTAACCCCAATCACGGTGACAGCAGCAACACCGTAACCTTTGCATCCTGCTGCATGTCACAGATAACCCACATCCCCCCTGAATTTTCACCCTGAGGAAATATTTCTTGTACACTGACAATGTGACTGTTTTTACACACTAGCTTAAACTACTTTTTGTAAAGTTCATCTTACTAGAGTTCTTCTTAGAGATTTGCTGTAGTACGATAACCTCAAGGGTAAAGTACGTGGTTGGGTGGATGGGGCTGTGGAAATGTTACTTTCTTGAACTATCTGACCAGCTGACAGTTCGTTAGCCTGAGATAAAAGTGTTGCTGCCTTGAAAACATGAATTCTCACTCAATTCTCACTGTTCAGGTTTATCTGCTCCCAGATGCCCAATCAGGTTCTTCAGAGCATCAGCATCATTGATACTCCTGGTATCCTGTCTGGAGAGAAACAACGAATCAGCAGGGGTAGGATATCTGTGTGTGTGTCTGTGTGTGTGTGTTGGCTGCCTAAAGGAGGCACCCTACTCTCAGTTTGTTGTGTTGTTGCATAATAGCCCTTGACATTCCTTCACTTCCTCATATTGTATTAAGTCAGTGAGCAGCTGACCTCCACAGTTTAATCTTAAGGCAGTTTGTCAATTAGTCTTCTGTTAAAGGAAAAGTCTTTTTTCCCCGTTTTTTTTTCTTTGTTTTGTAAGTCGAGTAAAAATGTATTAGCTTCATGCAACATGAATTTTCTTTTCTTTTCTAGACTGAACGATTAGTCAGTTTTTCTTAAAAAGATTTTGATAAATACTGGCCAGAGTTTTGCACAACCTCAAGACAAACAAGTCTAAATCTCCATCAAACGTTGAGGTCCAGTGTTTTAGAGTAAAATTCCTTTAGAACTTATGGATCTTACCTGCTGATCAATCCTCTAGACAGAGTAACTGCGCTAACATTTAACCTAAAAGGTTCTTGTGAAATACTGTATCTCTCTTTTCTGTCTCACTTCCTTTTTTGTCTCACAGTCTGTTTCCTCTAGTGAATCAGTGCTGCTGATGTGTGTTTATAAATGCAGATCTGAAACCAAAGACACTGATTCGTAGGAAATGAACCCACGGGAGCAGTTACACATCTGAAAAATCTTGACCTGACTCGATATATTTGGTGCCAGGGCTCAAGTGATTGTCAAAAAATATTTTAAGAAATTTCTATTTTTTTTCCGCATTAAAAATGTCTGTTTTCTGTCCTGAATGACAAAAATCATATTATCTATTGGAGAAAATGTGTGACAAGAACCACGTACCAATGACCCTAACAGTGGGAATTTAGTATTAGTTGTAATGGTTATAATTAGTTCAATTTGTTTTATAACCATGTCAAAAGTGCTTCGCAGGACCAAGCATAAAGCATATTCATACATTTTCTATATATCTCTTAAAGCTCTGTTTATTAAGTACTGACTGAGTAGGAGTTACCGGTAGTACTGTTTTCTGTTTTGGTTACTTCTAGTTTAGTTTCCCAGGACTAGGTTAGGGGAGAAACCTGAATCCAGGGGCCTGCCGCTGGTTATGGTCTTCTTCCTCTTTTGGTTGTTTTAGCCGGGGCTCCCATTTCTTTTTTTGCTATTTATTCTTTTGTGAGTAACTACACACCCTTTATTAAACGCTTGATAAATTACAACAACATTCTGTATTTATGGACGGTAACAGTAAACTGAATGCAAGGTTTGCACTTGTGTAACTGGGCGACTTTATATGCCAGAATTACTAACGTACTGCTTACCATGTATAATATAAAAATGTATTCCATAAGGTAACAATCTGTATTGATTTTAGTGCATGCTGTTGGGTCAAAAATGTGGGAAAATGTGGCTCCCACAGTTGTTTTTAAACCAGCACATAACATTATCTGAAGTTGGTACTGTAGTGGTCTAACCAGATAAAAAGAGCCACCTTTGTGAAACTGAAGACTCTGGTTTTGTGCTCAGCATACCTCACTAACCCATTACACTTTGTTATGGTTAATTCTGTCGGCTTTCACAACACAAAATCAAAATGAAAGAAAATGGAACAATGTGAATTTCCATTTAACTTCCTTATTTTTAGTTTCAGCAGCGTAAGCAGTCATATTTCAAAATGGACCAACATTGGTCTTCATCTTTTTAAACTGTAAGAAACTGTGTTAACCCCATGTCTTATCGTCTATCTGATACTTTGTTCTTCAACACTCTGGCTTTATTTAGTCTTCTCACAGACCATATGCCTAATCCTGTCTTCACCTGTTTTCATCTCTTTTCTCATGCTCTGTGGATTAAAGGGATGCTATCTACACTTGCCAACAACATCTAACAAAATCTCCTTTGACAGCCAGCCTTTAGATAAATGTTGGTGAAGTTGGCATCAAAAATGACACTCCTTGCTGGAATCATTACCAAATCAACCCTCAATGAACAGATTAAAAAGATTCAGTGTGGCATACAACGGCTTGTAATATCAAACACCTCGTGATGTGAAGACATTCCACCAGCTGATCTAAACATGTTCACTGGGGAGCTCGATATATGATAATGTATTCATTCATTTAAAAATAAAAAGCAAATCAAATGTGCTGCATTATTCACTACAGGGAAAAAGAAATAAGTACCCAAACCCAACACTGGTCACTGGTACACTGCCAAATAATGGCTAACATGTACAGTCTATGGGAACAATGATATAACAAAAACAGGAGGGTGTTATTGTATAGATATGTATAAAGTTTGCTAGAAATTTGTCCAAACGAAGAACTAAAGATGCAGCCTTCCACAGAATACATGGAGGTTCTTTAATATAAATAATGAATATAATATTTCATTATGCATGTCCTTGATCCCGTCTTCCTTCTCTCTCCTCAACCTGTTGCAGCAGATGGCTCCGCCCCTCCCTGAGTCTGGTTCTGCCGCCGGTTTCTTCCTGATAAAAGGGAGTTTTTCCTTCCCACTGTTGCCAAAGTGCTTGCTCATAGGGTCTCATATGATTGTTGAGTTTTTCTCTGTATGTATTATTGTAGGGTCTACCTTACAATATAAAGCGCCTTGAGTCAACTGTTGTTGTGATATGGCGCTATATAAATAAAACTGAATTGAATAGAATAGAATATTTCATTATATTGAGAAAATATCTGAACTGAGTACTAATATCTATAACAATCATCTAAATTTCTGTGAGCAAAATAATGACAACATGCAATGATTTGTAATAATGAAAAACTTTAAAATTAGTCTGTCATTGGTAAAAAGTACAAAATTGCTTTTATGCTATTAAGTATATCATTCTGCTTTAAGGAAATGAAAGGGTGTCTCTTTTCTGAGTAGATGCTTGTGCTGTACTAAGCTCTACATTTTACATCCCACGGGTATCTTTGCTGAAAGTTTTATATAATAGCAGTGGTATGTTGGGTGGAGAGCCAGAAAGTCACATAGACTCAGACCATATACTGAGCTTTCTAATGCTGTCGTGCTTATAGCACAGGACTGTATGATTCAGTGGGAAACACACCTGCTAATGTTCATAAACGGTCACAAAGGAGTTCCCCAGGGAACCAGCAGGGAGTCCTTTTAAATTGTATGTCCTCAAAGTAGCCCTTTACTTCACAGTTGTATGTATTGTGGCATGCTACATTGTCAGAAATGCCGATGCTAAAGTTGTCCAAAGTACTTGGAGCTCCCAGAGGGAAACCTAGAGGAAGATCCATCTGGTATAAATGAGACATTTTTACAAATCTGGCAAATGAAAGTCAGCAGAGAACAGGAAGGATATGTGATTCTGATTACAGCTGCACTTAAGTTTTGTTGTGGAAGATCATCTGTCAGAATCGAGTGGTTAGAGAGACAGTGAGAGTCAACAACAGTGCGTCCAGATATCAAAAATGTTAAGGAGGTGTGCAAGCCTGAATTACCAAACTTGCAAATAAGGCACCAACTCGACTTTGGAGGCAACAAAAGTTGACATTTAATGTTGTGGGTAGGTAGTCTTTAGTTAGATTGCTTGAATATTTTAACCACTGAAGTGCAACATTGTTAAAACAAAGACACACATTAGGGCAACTACATTCTCCTGCTCAGCTGTATATAGTCAGGAATGGTTTATCATAAAATCAGCTTTATGAAAACAGTTTTATTAGATGATGGCGTAGATCCACCACTTAACATGTAGTGGATCTAGTAATAGGGATTGCAGCATATAGCAAAAATCTACCAATCTAACTTCGGTGCATTAACTAGACTGTGTTAATTTTTTATTATCTATATTAGAATATTTTTGTAGAAACAAGTTTCTCCTTTTATTGCAGAATTCCCGATTCCCTTACATTGAGTCAACCTTATGAATGACACCATTACTTGAACAGCTCAGCTGGGCAAATGGAAGGATGGATTCAGCAATGGAGGGATGGTGGATTAAAGGGAGGGAATGAGGGCCACAGGAAGCAGTGGTGGGGCTTTCCCTCCATCTGGAAGCATTTAGGGCTGCTCAGCTGAGCCTGAATTCCTCTTGAAGACTTTTGACGGGCCAACTGTGACTCAACATGAACGCACATAGAGACAGCATCAGCAATAGATTAAACTTCACTGCGCACATGCTGATGGCAAACTGTCATGCCGCTGCTACTGCTCAGGAATGTTTCATCTGATTAAGTTACTTTGAGCAGTTTAAAATGACTGAACAGCTCTTTGTGTGTGTGTGTGTGTGTGTGTGTGTGTGTGTGTGTGTGTGCGCGCGCGTGCTGCAGCTGCCTTCCAGCACATTGAACATGTTTTGACCCACTTCAGACCTCCTGCTGTGTAGACATGTGGCCTTTATGTTTTTTTAGTCGGGCTTCATTTAAGATTTGTTTCGGCAACTAAAGCACCTGTATATTAGACATGTATCATATAGATATTTCGTATTTGTATACATATTTTATCTTTTCTGAGTTCAACACTTTGTATCAATAATGCAATTTTTGCTCTGGGTATAAAATAGAAAGTTCCTTTGCTGCACCTAAAAACCAAAAAACTGTAATTGATTCAAGAAAGTCCCCTGTGCATCTCTGTGTCACTAGCAGGGCTTCAGAGGATTACTCTGTGTCAATCTCATTTGACAACTTGAATGTGTGCATATGCATGGATATCAAACTTGTGCAGGTAGCAGCCTTTAATTTGTCAAGCATCATCACTGCTAATGAAAGGTGACTTTCATATTGTGAGGCCTAATTAACATTAATGAAGTTCTGCAGTTTGACTGAGTGCATTTTTATAAATAACAATGGGTAATAGGATTAGTAAGGAGGAAGAAAGGGCAGGTATGAAGAGAGCGAAGAGTGGAAGGGAATCACTCCACCTGTGGAGGTATAGAGTTGTCTTGAAGAGAGAGCAGATTGGGAAAACTATGGGAAAGAGTTGTAGAAGCTTGGTTGAGGAGAGAAGTTATGATTAGTGAGGACTAGTATGGCTTCATGCTGAG